AAAATGTCGGTCTATTCGAGTCAGGAACTGGCGTGCAGATATTCGAAGACTTCAACTCTGCACTTGAATTCTGCGAGAATGACTATTTGAAGGTCTTTTACAGCCACCGTGAAGCGTTGCTGAAGACGAGGAATGCGTCCTCAACATTCCTAGAGGTACCTGGGTCACACAACCAGCAGCATCTTCACGAAAGTATCGTGGGCTCTCCTCGTCACCGACATCTCCAGCAAGCAGCTACTACGACCCTGCGCGAGGATGAGACAGCCGTGGTGGCTCCAACAGCCTGGGCTTCCATGCGACAGCCCTTACCACTCTTACTCCAGACATTCCAGGGGCTGACTTCGCGCAACGAGGATTTCTGGTTCCGGGCTTGCACATATTTTGTCCGTGATACCTACGCAGCTGGTACCGTATTATTCCAGGAGGGCGACGTACCCAATGGCTTCTACTTGCTTGAATCCGGGATGCTTCGTGCGGAATATGAGTTGCCACAGGGGCGATATTTCGAGCTGATCGTAGCCGGACGGCCATGCGGAGAATTGCCGTTCTTCAGCGAAACCCGACGAACGGCCACGGTCAAGGCGGAACAGGAATGTGTCGCCTGGCGTCTGACTACAGCCAAATGGCGAGATCTACGGGAGCAGGAGCCCGAAATTGCCCGGGAACTGCTGACGGTCAGTCTGAAGCTGACCACTGAAAGAATGGACAGCATTACTTCGTAAGTGGTCTTCGCCTTTTTCTGCACTTAGTTTAGGCAACACTAACCCGATTTAGTTATGTTCTTACTATGGCGGCTTAATGATGCCATCTTTCTGTTTCTCTAACTAAGCATGCTTGGGTAGGTCAGGTGTACAATCTTTTCGCATTTGTCGCATATTGCTGGTCATTACTTGAGCGTTATTTTTTTTTTTAGCATTTGGCATATGTGATACGTGGATTTGTTGAAATATGATCGCGCATATTTGTCTATACTCGGACACGTGCTTCTCTGGAATTGATGACGCAGCTTCCACATGACACTGCAAGCTGACAGGATAAGAACAACGGCAACCCGTGACTTCTATTGACCTATCTCCTGCCTACGGGCTAGTGGTTCTGAGGGACCTAACGTATAAGTCGTAAACCTGATACTCACCCGAGAGATAGGACCATTCTTTATCTGTTTCAAGATTTCAAGTGGCTGATATGGAGAAGATTGCTGCGGGGTAGATTTAATTGCCAGATGTACTATAAACGGGGCTCTAAGATAGCCGTCTAGAAGAGGAAATAGGGAATGGCGCCATCTTGATATCAGATGGATACCGTTATGACAATGATCCCTTTATGATATAATGAGAGCCAATTTGCGGACAATATCGGAATACTACCGTATCTATGCTCCGTACCTATGTGCGGAGTTACGCTCTTCCCCCACCGTGACCTATACTGCCATCATTTTAAGAAAATCACAGACACATATGTATACCCAACTACCAAATTTTAATAAGGGTTGGTTACCAACACTGGAAAAGGTTTTATATAATCTGAAACGCTGCAATCCACCACGGATACCTATAACGATCCAGTATTGCACTTCAAACCCCCATCACTAAAAAGGTCCAAGACACACGCGGAACTTAGGAAGACATGAGGCACCCTCGTCCTTGTCCGTTGGACAACGATAGACACGGGCCAAAGCAACGATCATCGGATCGACAGTGGCCTGATTGGTTGGATTGGTATCGTCCGTTGGGCTCGAAACGGTCCATAATGGAAAAGGGGGGAGTGGACCGGCTTACTGAGACTAGTGAGAACTAAGTTATTAACTTAGTTCCTATTACTAACCACGGCACTAATTAGGTACCTTGGGACCAAAGGACCTACGAAGCTCCAATACATGGTAGTACTACTCCGAAGGGATTAGGGGGCGTGTTAATGGGTTTTTATCTGTGTTTGAGGTTGAGTTTCCTTTTATTAATTATTTGGGTGTCCGGAGGATTCTGGTCTTGTTGTTTTTTCGCCACATCGCCAGATCAATTAAGGCAATTGGGGTTTAGCTTCTGTCGCTAATTATCGACGTTACCATATGTATGGAGTAAGTACTCCATTGTCGCTGAAGAAAAGAAAATCCATGACGAACGCATACTACTTACGTACATACGACATACATACGTGCCTCGCACCCTACCTCCTAAGCGAGCATCGACACTCCTGCAGGGATGGCTTGACACCACCGCGAAAATGCATTGATAGGGCTGCGACAAACATTCCTGCGCGACAATAGTACCGCGCCGGGGTGGGGCCTCGACCTTTTACCCACCATGGCGCTACGAAGATGGCTATCGAACCACGTCCTGAAAATCCGAGTGTCGATTTTAATTTATAGTCAAATAATCATCGTCCATACCTAATTTTACGATTTGTGCCTTCTTTCTCGCTAGAAAACTAGACTAGACGAGACTAAATCCCAGAAAAAAGGGAAAGGAAAGAAGAATTGGATGACGTGATAGGGGGTTTTTTCCCCCTTCTTGTTAATTTTCCGTTTGAGGACCTGTTGTTTCTGTTGTCCTGTTGGTGTCTTTTTGGTTTTTGGTTTTTGTTTTTTTTTTTTTGTTTTCGTTTCCCTGCTACATGTGATGTTTGGGTTGGCTGGACAAGAGTACTCCGTTACTACTAGTTCAGTCGAGAATGGAATCGTCCATTTCTTCTTCGATTGGTGTCACTGCCTTATCGTGCAAGTAAATCACCGGACAACCCTGGTTTACGCCATGTTGAAGGGGGGTGTCTTTCCTTGTTCATTGGATGGCAATTCCGGTCACGGGTTAGGATGAGATACTCGAGTCGCGTGGCCCGGCCTTCTCGACTTCCAATGTGGTTTGCCTATGGAACAATCTGTCTGTACCTCCTCCTTCCCCGGTTGGTAGGTAGTAGGGATGCGAACACTGGTTAAGGGTTGGGGTTTGTGCACTGATGGTTTATTGGTAAGTGCTATGTCAAGGGCTCTTGTTTAGGTATATATTACCCTGCGATTAAGAACAGCGCTTGCACATCCCTCTCCCAAGGAAGCAGGTCGGGAAAAAGCCACTGGTTCGACCAGGGTTAAAGGCCTGGAGATGGGATAGAGGGCGGAAGCGCCAAAGAAATTAGGTTAATAAAACAAGGACTAGGCTAAATTAAGTAGACTAACGCAGAAATGCAGAATAAGTTACTTGGTTAGCTTGTTTGTGGAAAATTTCTGTAAGAATCGAGATCGTTGGTGGATCCGTCAGGACTATGACCTGCGGTGGTCTGGTCTTTTTTTTTAGTATTTGTTTTTTTATTCTTTCTTGTTCAGTTCTGGGTCAAGTCAGGGATAGAGAGTGGGTTTGATAGTATTATAGAATGTTACATCGCAGGTAGGTAGAAATATACTGTGCCTGTACCTGAGCACAAGAAAAAAAAGGGTATGTTTTGCAGTCATATTGTTAACAATCACAGGGACAATACAATGTATTGGCATGTAAAGGGAAGCCAAAGGAGATTATTTGTTGAGGTTAGTAGCCGAAGGATGAATATTTCTTTTTTCCTTTTTTTTGGTGGTGCTGGTTCAAGTACTGTGTCCTTCTATCATGAGGATACACAGACCATATGACTCAAGGTAACACGGTTCAACCACAATAACCCACTCAGGTTGATCTCGAAAGGAGTCTCCATCCATGGTACAGCTCCCGAATGGGTGGCTCGAGGTCCCACAACGCGGTGAGCGGATGACATGATCTAAAACATTGGATTTTGCTGGTGGTTTGATCTGGTGTTAGAAGTTTTGAAGAACTTTTCAATCTTGGTCTCTGTATTCCATTATGAGTAGAGAAAGTATTTCCTGCTCAAAGGAAAGATTTTTTTGTTTGACGTTTGGAGGGGGAGGAGAATAGTGTAATGATCGGTAGTTGATTAGGGCTACCCGTTAAGCTGCAGGAGCGGTAGGGGAGCTACAGTTCAAGCTACTGGTCACTAAGCTGTCATAGTGTCGTTAAGGTCCCGGAGGTCTCTCATCTCCTTTTTGGACCTCTGGAACGACTGGACTGGATAGGGGGTGCTAGTCTATGTCTATCCTTATTCTCCCATGAAGAATTTTTAATTTGACTGGATTTAGTTTCTGGTTCTAGACTAAATTAGGGAAATTTGCCATCATATATACGAGAGAATCGTTCCATTGAGGTCCATGCTTCAACCCCGACCCTTTTCCTTGCCAACGTTTCAACCTGTTGCCAGTCCTGGATGATTCCCTTACCAGACGCTTGAAAGGTAATCATGATCTTGTCCAACCAGGCAGAGAGGGTTGATGGTACCTCTCAATCATCCCTACCGAACGACATCGTCACCTGCAGAAGTGTCGTCGGGATGAGGAGCACCTGATACTCATCTGCATCAATCCGATGGGGTCACCCCTTATTCTGAACGGGCCATTGGACCAAAAGAAAAGTAAATTTAAGTAAAAAATAAAATAAAATAAAAAGTGGAACCCAAGAAAATGAAAAAAAATTAAAACCAAAATATCCTCTCCGTATACTCCTTAGCTTTCCACGCCCCACTCTCCTCCTCCTTCTCTCTTTACTCTATACTTTTTTTCTTTTCCAGGTGTCCAAGGTTGTCCGCCCTGCAGCTCCTTTCCCTTTCTGGGGCTTCTGCCCACACCCTTTCATTATTTTCACCCTCCTTTCGCCCCTTCTCCTTCTTTGTCCTCGTTCTTTTTTCTTTCTTCTCTTCCTCTCTTCTCTCTTCATTCCATTCTGCTTCTGCACTTCTTCCAGAGCAACGACTTTGTTCGCTTCTTCCCTCCCCCCCCAAAACCCTTTACCTTTCGTTGTGATACCCGAGCTCTTCAAGCCTCGTGCTCTGAGAGCTCTTGTTTTCTGTTGAGATACCCCCCTTAAGATACCCAAACGGACGTGACTCTTTATTACGAAGCTACTTCAGCTTCCATTAACAACTTTTAATCCCATCTCTACTATTATAATTACCACTTAATCCCTACCGACAACATGTCCGACGTTCAGAAGCCTGTTGAGGAGACTCCCGCTCCCGCCGCCGCGCCTGTCACTGAAGTCCCTGCTGAGACTCCCGCCACTGAGACTCCTGCTGCTGAGGCTCCGAAGGAAACGCCCGCCGAGAACACCGAGGCTACTCCCGCTGCTGCGGAGGAGAAGAAGGATGAGACACCCGCTGAACAGCCCAAAGAGGAGGCTAAGGAGGAGGTGACCCCCGCATCGGAGGGTGTCCTCGGTCACAAGGCCCCCGGTCTCGTCAAGTAAGCGCCGCATGTCGCAATGGATCTGCAGTACAAGTGACTAATCACATGGACTATAGGAGTCTGCGCTTCTCCAAGCGCTTCTTCTACTTCAGCGATGGCGCTGTCGAGGCTAAGCAGCTGTCTGCTTTCCACCAGAATGAGAAACCCGTTGTTGCCAACCCCATTGCTGCCTGGGCTAGCCAAACTGGCAAGGGCCTTTTGTTCTTCACCAAGCGTGCTGAGGACAAGAACACTCCTACCGGAATCTTCAACTTGGTCAGTATATTGCTCGTTCTGCGAGGGACGGAATACTGACGTGGAGCAGGCTGAGGTCACTGATATCACCAAGGAGGGCTCCAGCGAATTCCTCTTCAAGGTGAACGGCCACAAGCACACCTTCCAGGCTGCCAGTGCCACCGAGCGCGACAGCTGGGTTGCTGCCATTGAGGCCAAGGCTGCCGAAGCCAAGGCTGAGAAGGAGGACATCACCTCCAGCGAGGGCTACAAGGCTGAGCTCGAGAAGCTGAGTAAGTTTGGATTGTTCCTCAATGGGTCGTTATCATAATCTAATATTGAGTAGCCAAGCCCGCAGTTGCTGAGCCCGCCAAGAAGGCCGCTGAGAAGCCCGCTGAGGCTAAGGAGGAGGCCAAGGAGGAGGCTGCCCCTACTGAGGAGAACAAGGACACCAAGGCCAAGAGCCGCTCGCAGTCCCGCAAGCGCGCTAGCATTTTCGGAACTCTCCGTGGCAAGAAGGAAGAGACTGAGGAGAAGAAGGAAGGTGACAAGACTGAAGAGGCCAAGCCCGCTGAGGCCGCTGCCGAGCCTGCTGCTGAAGCATCCGCCGCTGCCGAGACTACTGAGGGTAAGGGCCAAAGCTAACTCGATTGTCTTTGTTTGAAGCTAACTTTCTTCAAGTCGCCGCCGCCGCTGCTCCTACTGAGCCTACCGAGAACAAGGAGGACAAGGAAGAAAAGGAAGAGGAAAAGAAGGAGGAGAAGAAGGAAGAGAAGAAGGCTGAGACTAAGTCCAAGCGCACTTCCCTCTTCGGCAACTTCTTCCAGAAGGTTACTAGCCCTTCTCACGAGAAGTCTGAGAAGGAGGCCACCGCTCCTGCTGAAACCCCCGCTGTTGCCAGCACCGCTCCTCAGCTCGACAACCCTGTCGAGGAGGCTTCCGTGAAGCCCATTGAGCCCGAGACTGTGACCGCCCCTGCTGAGGCTGAGGCCGCCAAGGATGCTGCTCCCGCTGCCCCTGCTTCTCCGGCCGCTGAGACTCCCAAGGACAAGCGCCGCACCTCTTTCTTCGGTAACTTCGGTAAGAAGAAGGGTGACTCTGACAACGAGGCTGAGGGCGAGTCTAAGCCCAAGGGCAACAAGCTTGGTGGCCTTTTCCGTAAGCCCAGCAAGGCTGTGAAGTCTGAGCTCAAGGAGCCCGCCACCGAGACTGAGGCCAAGGCAGAGGGTGCTCCTAAGGAGGCCACCGTTCCTGAGTCCGCTGAGGAGTCTAAGCCCGCCGAGCCTGTTACCACCACTGAGGAGGCTAAGCCCGCCAACGTCTCTTCCACCTCTGCTCCTGTCCAGGCCGCCGCATGAAGTGCTTCTCCAAACCGCGTCATTGAGTATGAAAACTGGTGGGATCAGTATGGAGTACACGCTTAGTGTTTCTCTTTCCCCAGTGATGAGTGCCCATGGCCACATAATTGAAGACAAAAGAAAAAAAATCATTAGTAATTGTTCATTGATATTATTTTGTGTTGATTCCAGTGTCACTGCTTTTGGTGCCTTGCTCCGCAGCGAGGATCTTGCCAAATTGAGTGTCAATGATACCCTCTGCTGCTTTGGCGGTCATTTCCGACTCTGATGTTCTTTTCGCGTCTGGGTCGCATTTCATTCCTTTATGATATCCGTTCCCGCGAGGATCCCTAATTTGGCCTTGCGTGCGTTCCCGCTGTGCGCCGTCCAAACTAGATTGATACCACTACTGTTTGCGTTTTCATCGTTGGTTTAGTTCTGATTGTCTTTCGCCGTTTGATGCTTCGTACTTTGATACCCTATTGGGAGGAAGGATGGTCTTTGCCTGGGCGGGTCTCCCTCGCTGCGCAAATCGGCCCCAATCGTCTACTGTCGTGGGCACGTTCCATGGCGTGCATACGCCGTGTGTACTAGCACACAGCATCATAGGTAATAGCTAATAGAATTCATAACTTGTCTTTGTACCCGCATCTTCCTTGTAACGGTCTACTTGTCCTAAACCTCGTACTTTGCCATCCACCTAAACTAGGCCCATACTCATCCACCGTGTGGGTGGCAGTGGAACACTTCCGATTCGAGCCCCATCCCACGGATCCAGAACCCGAAGCAGTGGCTCTGTCTAATCCTAATAGTAGCCCTGTCATAAGCATGCCGACTAGGATCCGGGATGTACCTTAATTGATCTTGAACATTGAGCTAGCGAATTGGCATCCGAATTTGACACTGTAGATCAACGTCTTGGAATGGATCAACCGAACTCAGGGCTATACGGCAACTAATTGATCCACATTCCAATAATCTGATTTAGTCCCATTCATCGATGAAATTTAGGACCTTGCTTACAAACATATTCAAGTGAACCCGCCCGCTCACCTCAACGCAGTGTTTTGCTACGCTTCTGAGGTTTTTTTTTGGGATTAGTTTAATGACCCTAGTTAAGTTCAATTAAGAATAGCGCCACCTGGTCAGAGGCATACGGAGTATATCTCCGACACCACGTGCTCCACGGAGGTGATGCCGGGTGGAGCTGTATCTATTTGTTGCAATCCAGGGTCAAACGTTTGCATGATATATACGACTCAACTTGGGAATGCGTTTCTGCCCGATATCGAAATATTTTTGGTCGGATGACTGGTACTCCGTATATAGCCCTGTTTGAATATTCAGAGTGGCTGTTATTTATCAAATGTAAGGCTTGCGATCGCCTCTATCCAATAGACGTGTTCAATATATTCTTGACTTACTATGTTACGTGTATTCTGTCACCATAGACTTCTCGTCTGTACCTAACTGTCAGACTATATTTAGGATATATCTGAGACGATTGGAGGACTTGAGAGATCTGAGGTCTCTTTCTATAAATTTCTTCTTCCTATTCTTGGTCCTTTAGATTTGAGACAGTATCTCGTATTAGGGGTCAAATTTGGGTTCTGTACAGCATGTTCTTGATGGTGTACCAATGAGGGCAGCAAGAACTCTTGGAAATACGATTTATATATATATGAGACATATACGGAGTACATATATCATCCCTCGTTTTAATTTTACTCGCATGCGTTGATATCGATGGTTGGGTTTGGTCGAACAAGAGTGCTTAGAACGGGATATTCGACAATGGTGGGTGTTGTCTCTATGTAGGTATAGTAAGACCCATTCCGTCGTTTGGAGAGATGTTTTGTTTATCTTCATACCAAATATACATATTGGAAGCGAATTAGCACACTCGTATGTACTCTGTACAATTTCTACAGAGTATACAAATTTAAATTCAATAATAAGCGGGACTCGCACGGGACTTGGAAGTCCTCCTTGTTTTCGCGCCCTGCTTCCGACTGTGTAGATAACCGAGTGGGACACATGATCGAGAACAATCAAGGTTCTATTACTCCGTACGGAGTATATCAGATGACAACATCTACATCTGGGGCTCTCTATGCTCATTTCACGATGACGATGGCTCCCTACGTATTCGTGTGCCATTGTCCTAAGAAACACGAAGTCGAGTCGCAAGGGTGTTCGGCGGATACGCCCGGCGTAGATGCAGAATTGAAATACACTTTTTGCCTCTCGGCGAGACCAGCGAATACTCGATTCGAGTGAAGATTCTTATCTGAGACTAGACCCGACACCGGGTCAGGTCATAAGATGACGGGTCTCGGTGTTTGCAATAAATAGCAGATTGGGGTTACAAATTCATATGGGATATTCTCGCCAGTATCGTTGGTGGAATGAATTTAATATAAATTCAATCTACTCCGAGGTGGTGATTGTACCATGCTTTTTTCGGAGTAGATTGGATTACTCCGAGTTAGGGCTGGTGCGCAATGGACAGTTTTGGTTTTTCCCTTTCTTTTTCTTTTTCTTTTTGCAACTTCTTTCCCTTCGGGTTCTAGTCTAAATGGGGTTCTCGAAACAACGGGACCTCCTCCACTTTGGCAATGGGTTGATCGTTTTCGTGAAATATACACGGTTTCTATCTAGTGCCGAATTTAGATTCGGATAGTGATTTCTTGGGTTTCGTATAATATTATTATCATATGCATGGAGAATTCCGCCTCAAATGAGGGTAATTTTTCTTGATTCTGGATGGATGATCTTCCCTTCTTAAAAGGGAATATGAGAAGAAGGATATGGTTAAAAAGATAAAGAGAGCAAGAAAAAAAAAAAAAAAAAAAACGGCTCAAGCGGAAGAGAATTGGGGCTGATAGAGTTTGGAAACACGCCCTTCGACCAAACTAACTGCGCATGGCGGGGAGTGGAAAAGGGAAATTGATCTCCACGCACATTATTAATCCTCGCAAGTCCCTTCTTTAACCATTCAGAATTCCTGATCGCTCGTGAGAATCATTGCAAACTTGCCCATTATGTAGGATCCTGTAGCCTAAGACCTCTTACAGCGATAAGTGCGGCTCAGCCCCCATTCCAACGGGAATTGGCTCCATTTGGCGGCGTCCCAATGCAGACCCCGAGACAGCCTGGAGAGGCTGTGAAGGCTGCAAGATGCAGTCGCAGGCGGGCGCTGATGCCTAGACTTCCCCGACCGTTACCCTCATTGGACAATGGATGTGACGGGTGCAATACTGGACGCGAACCAGTTTCATCATCCACATCCTCCTCTAAACACATTTACTCTGAGACTATTGTAGCACTAAAACACTTGGGAAGCGGTGGAGAAGCCAGACAAGTACGAGGGTCGGTACCCGCTGCGTAACCTGCAAGTGACTTCAGGTTACCGTGCATTCTCTGCGTGGGTGCAGGTATCTTGCTCGTACCCGGCCCCAGGCACCGGAGATGCCTGGGGACACCCGGGCATCCACTTAATGGACGATGGGGCCAATCAGAGCCTCGGATGGACCTATGACTCACACCTGCTGACCGCGTCCATTGGTCTAACGCCCAATACGGTTAGTGTAGCGGGCGGGGAAGCGGTCGGCCATGATTGGCTGACCGTCGGATGAAGGGGGCACACACTGCGTTTAAGAAGTGCCTGAATTCCCGTCGCTGCCTTGGGTTCTCTTTTCCTTTTTTTTCTCCTTCCTCTTCATCTCTTTTCTTCTTTACATCTCAACCACATATTATTTTAACACCGTCATCATACAGCCATATACTGAACAAGAACTAGAATATCAAGAAGCGTTCCAAAATGGCCTCTTTCTAAATCCCCCCCAAGGAAAGAGCTCGTCTATCTCTCGTGAGACAGGCATCATAGATCCTCAACGGACTTCGTCTTTTATCAATATATCTTCTTCCCACCCCTCAGAGTCTCCTGTCCCAGGACCTCTGAACTTTAGCACCACCTCGGGTAGCTCAAGTTCTTTGAACAACTTTTCTACGTTCGACATCACGTCGTTCAACACGGATCACCATCAGCAAACATGGCTCCCTACACCCCCGCCCCCGCAGCCTACGGCTCAGAATTTGAATTCCAACAACGACAACAACAGTGCCAACTCCCTACAGGAGGACTTTGTGCTATATCCTCCCCAGCATCCCAGGGACTCTCGTGCGCCAGCACCTCCGAGTACAACCCCTAGATTTCCTGCCAATCATCCATCTCTGGTCCGTCTTGGGCACCTTTCTCGACGACAAACTCTCAGTTTGCAGCAGCAACAGCAGCAGCAGCTCTCAGCCTCGCCAGTACAGGTTCCCCGCTTGACCAGACTTGCATTGCAGTCTACCGGGTTCCCTCTGTCTTCGTCCCATCGGTTTAGTCCCTCCACTAGGAAGCACCTCTTGCGTCTTCACGCAGCGTCCGTTGCTTCGAATTCTCCACCTGCAGTTCTGAATTCTGCGTACCCCAATCGCCCGCCCGTTCCCCTATTCAACAGTCCCGCCAACTCCACGTATCAGAAACGGCAACAAATTCCAATAAATCACCGTCGCATAATGTCTACTCCCAACATCGCTCAAGGTGAGCTTTGGCTACGCTTCGCCCAGTTTCATAAAGGGGCGCATGTTAACATTCCATCAGATCTCCCCGATCTCTTCGATCTTCACGCTGATCGCTTCGGGGACGATTTGGTTCCTACAACGGAGCCCACCATGCTCTCCCCTCAGCAAATGACCGCCGGCGTCATGGCAGGTCCCGATTCTCTGGCAGATTTGCCATCTGGCACGATCTCGCCCAAGGATCTGTTCATGGATGCCTCTGCTCCGCCGTCGGCGTCTTTCACCGATTTGAGCACTCCCTCATTCGAGTCCCCAGGGTACTTCAGCCAAGACACTTCCCCCATGTTCGCTACGGACTTGGAACTAGGCCCTGGTGTTGAGGAGTGGGGTTCTCTCTTCCCCACTCAGGATGATTTCTCCTTGGGTCTTGATACCACTGCCCTTGAACTTGCGGCTCTGTCGCAGCCCAAGGTCAAGCCAGATGTCACCCCTGCATCTCCTATGATCCGGACTACATCGTCCCGTGCTTCCTCTCCCTCCACTCGTTCAGTGACCAAGCACTCGACTGTGGCCGGTGTGAACGCGCGCCAGAGAAAGCCTCTGCCTCCGATTAGGTTTGATTCTCAGGATCCCGTCGCCATGAAGCGTGCTCGCAATACTGAGGCGGCTCGTAAGTCTCGCGCCCGTAAGCTTGAGCGCCAGGAAGAGATGCAACGTCGGATTGATGAGTTAGAGAAGTCGCTCGAAGAGGCTCAACGTCGTGAGCAATATTGGAAGGCTCTTGCCCAGAACAAGGCCTAAATGATCTAAAAGTCGGTTTTTTGTTACGTGATATATCATGCTGTTTCTGCAAGTTCTGTTATGAATGGGCTCTGCGGTGGGCGGGGCTTTGGAGCCTCTCGTCAACCCAGATGTCGGATGCACTCACTGGTGTCTGGAACTAGTCACTGGTGACGTGACTTCCGACAGGATAAAAGTTTCTATTGTCATATTTACCATATGGTCGTGTGCTAGCACTTTCGGACCGCTTTGTCTTGATTATCTCTACTTCTTGCCAGTATTGGCCATCTCTTTTTTGCTCATTGTTTTAGTTAACTCATGGGCTTCCGATGTTTCATTACTTAGCAATAGCCGGTTCTGATGTCTCCTGTTTCGCGGGATTGACTCGTGGCTTCTAATTCTTTTGGATGTCTTGCTTGATTACTTGGATTGTTTGATGCTTGTGATTTCACGTGTATTAGATTGTCTACGAATCCACCAATCTTGCTCATCAAATTTCTTCCGAAGTAGATCATTCGTTTGAGTATGCATGTAAAGACCTGCAAGTAATCGGAGCCCAATACCTACTCTAGCTGAGACGATCGATATGCATAATGTAGGTGATGTAAAAGGATAGAGTGCCACCTACATGGAACAATCGTGGCATCATAGCTATGCTCCACAAGGAAAGCAGACAGAAACCACCATAAAACACAGCTCAGACTTGCCTTTATAAACTTCACCGTCCAAACCTCTCTCAAACAGAACCGTCAATATCATCTAGAGCCATACAACAAGCAAAACCGACACACAACCCCTCAATCCACAAGACCAACCCACCAGCGCACACACACCTGCCTCCAAGAGCTCGATCTCAATGCCATATATACGCGGGTTAGAACCATCCAAACCCATTAATGTCCTGTACCCTCGCTCTGATAGCCAGTGCAGAAGGTGGAACAATAATGAGCAGGCGGTCTCTTTGCCGCTGACTAGAACAAATACTACACGCCTTGGCCTGAGTGAGTCTGGAAACAGGGGAGTGCTGGATGTGCACAGTCTAGAGATCGAGGAAAATTGCACGTCACTTGATGCTGGGTGGATGATAGAAATGGAGATTTGAGGCTAGATGAGGTGTGGGCTCAGAAGTATCTGATTCCTTGGTTTTATCATCACTGCTGTGTCGGCGTTTTGGAGTAGATTGGTTGGGGGAGCGTGGGAGGGAAGAAGGTTGTTTATGGGGAGAGGAAAAGAGTGTTGTGTTGTAAGTTGGAAAGTTTTATTTAGTTGAGGGCGTCGGTGCCCTTTACTCTACCTTTTTCCATCTTTGCTGTCCGCGAGCCGAATTGGATGGCACGTTTCTTCTCTCGCGCCACGTTTGACATCCCTAGTTTGAGGGCTACTATGCGAAGGGCGCGCTTCTCTGGGTCGATGCCGGTCGTGGACTTTGTAGGATCATCGCTTTCTGGTTCTCGGAGGCCAAAGCCGCACTTTTCCCAGACAGGGGCTTGCACGACCCATGAGACGAAGTCTTCATCGAGGTAAGGGAACCGTGCTTCGCGGCCCCAGTGTGCTATCACTCGGTTGTCGCGGCCTAGGTTGCGCTTCCCGAGACGACTGACATCCAGGTCGATTTCGTCAATGAGTCCCTCGAACCCGTTGCGTGAGTATGCCATTCCATGCCGTGCGTATCCTGCGAACAGCTCATCGGCTCCCAGGCCTGATAGGAGCACTCTAGCAGGGGTTGTGTATGGTTGCGGCTCGGCGTTATCTCCGTGGCTGTCGAGTGCAGATCCTTGTCCACGTGAGGCGAAGTAGAGTGCACATGCGATGGACAGATCCATTTCTGTATTATGCGGCCTCATCAGACGTTTCACCGTGTCACGATGTGCAACCGTCTCCACGTAAGGTATGTCGATTGCAACAAAGCGCCAGTTACGGTTGGGGCAAATGGCTTGAAGCTCTGCGAAGGCTGCGCGGCCAGTGATGCGGTCGGGGCAGTTTTCATACACCGAGCCTAGTTTCGCTTCTTTGCTAGCTGCTGCTGCTACACGCGGATTTTCGAAGGCGACATTGAGCAAATCGATTGACTCGTTGGCCGGTAGAAGCTCATGCGACAGTCGAGCGAGTATGGTACAGTCGAGTCCCCCGGAGAACAGCACAGCAACCTTTGCGTTGCTTTCTGTGGTGAAACCCGGGGGATCACGTACATTCTGAATTCTGAGTGCAAGAGACGTACGAAGTCTTTGCTCAAGCTCGTTCACGCAAGGCGACTCAACGGTCAGCTGAGGGACGTCCTGCGGAACAGATCTGTTCATGGGAGGGATGGGGTTTCTCTGCATGACTATGAGTATGAGTTCCAAGTATAGTGATCAGAAGGGCATATGTACCAGATGACCAGGAGAATCTATGTTCTCCCATGGTAGTGTTTGTAAGCTATCGGGGTTGAAATAAGCAACACCGGTTTCGGGTGTAGACAAATCCTGCATGACACTATGTGTGAAATCAATCATATGCACACCAGTTGTGCCAACTTCATCGAAGTGAGTGGATGACGTCCCGTCGCAAAGGCTGCAGATCTTGAAAGACCCGGTTTCATCAAGGCCTTGAAGCAGGGACCGCCTTCCGAGACAATCCCTGCTGAAGTATAGTTTTGCATTGACAGCATCATAGAATATAAAAGAAAAAGGCCCGGAAATGCTACTGAGAACATCCACAACTCTCTGAGTAGCATTTCCACGATCAATGGTAGTGGATGATCCTGAATTGTAAGACGGCTTCGCAGCTTGTAGTAGTAGATTAAATATCAGTTGGGTATCATTACCTCGAATGGGTTCACCTGCTACTTTCCAGGCGTCGCCATTCCAGCAAAGTACGGATTCAGTAGTGGTGTCCACGAGAGGTTGGGTGACAACTTGGTCGCCTCTCATCGAAAGGACGGTCGAGACAAAGGTAAGGAAAATCGGTACAGATCTTGTTTGATCTGTGCTGATATCTCGTTGAACTTGTCGAACTTGGAAGCTATCGGGCCCTCGTTTGCGCAATAAACAGCATGTCTCCTCATTAGGAAGTACAGGCCCGGAAGCGCTTAGGGAAAAGAATATTCCACACATTGTAACATTCCGGCCGCGAACGAGGGGTGGTGTTTCTCTCAAATGTACGGAGTAGAAACAGAGAAATGACTCGCGCCGGACCTCGGGGGAACCGTGACCCCGGCGGTGACGTGCAGTCCGTTATACTCTCAACACTTGGGATGATATTCTGACGACTACCAGAGATAACAACAAGGGCCTTCTGTTAAATCCACCTTTACTGGGGGCGGCTTATTAACAATACCAGCTGCCGTAATACTTTCCCCGCCGATTCCGTTACATCCGCTGTCTCGGCACTTATTGCTGTGGTCTTTGACAGCTTCGATCTGGATGTTTATATCATAATGCTCTGTGCCTTATTCTAAGGAACGTTCACTTCAGCGATCTGATCTATTAGTTTATTAGCGTGTATGCGGCTGGCTTATGTCTGCTACAGAACACTCGGATTCCCCGGCTCCTAGTGGACAAGGGAGATCTCCTCAGATTTTCACGATGAGGGGCACCGACTAGAGCAACAGGTGACATCAGCGAATTCCGAGCCGGCTCGAGAGTCACAGAATGATACACTCGCGGATCCGAAGGATACCAAGGACTTAAAGCAAAGCGATATGGAAGCAGATATGCAGGATACCCCGCAAGGTGCAGTCACAGAGTCTCTACATTCTGTAACTACACCCGTTGTCGACCCTCCAAGTGCAATACCTACCCAACAAGAGTCGCTTCCGGGCCGGATAAAGGGATTAACAATATCTACAAACACCCTGGATCGTTCACTGTCGCCGAACACCGATCAACCCCCTCTCCCACCGGAGAAAGACGACGCATACCTTAACCAGAAACCTCAGTCTGCGCCCACTTCCCATTCGTCAACAAAGACATCCTCTGAATGGGCTGAAAAGGAACTACCAGAAGTGCCTGAGCGAGGGAAGAAGGCTGATAATGGCGGGGTTAGTCGAGATGATGTCTCCCAGCCGGAGATTCAAAGCATCATAGAACAATTCCAGGATCCAGCGCATGGCGATAGTGAGGAGCAGATAATGTCACCTCGACTGGAGTTAGCTGAGCAATTCTTTGGTGGGCAAGGTCACTTTCCTCCTCGACAATCTAGCCTTGATCAAAAAAAGGCAGTAGGCGAGGGCGCTCAGGCTTCAAACGTCAAGGTGGGAGCGCCATCCGCTTCTCCAGAGAAACAACTTGCCTCGAGCTCTACGAGCGTGCACAGGCGATCACTTGTAGAAGAGCCAGCGCTGACTCGGCGCTCGTCCACATCGACTTTACCTCCCCCACCAGAACCAGAGCCTGACCAACCTTTCGATTTTCATCGGTTCCTGGAACAACTGCGACACCGTACTGCTGACCCGGTGGCGAAGTTCCTACGTTCGTTCCTCCATGAGTTTGGGAAAAGACAGTGGATGGTTCATGAACAAGTTAAGATCATCAGCGATTTCTTAGCTTTCATCACTAATAAGATGGCTATATGTGAAGTTTGGCGTGACGTCTCGGACGGCGAGTTTGACAATGCTAAAGAAGGGATGGAAAAACTCGTGATGAACAGACTGTATTCACAAACATTTTCCCCGGCTATTCCTTCCCCGCCCACCATTCCAAGAAGTACCAGCCGGAGCAAACGAAGAGAAATGGAGAGACTCCATGGTCCTTGGAGGCGCGGCCAACACCAGGAAGATATTGAGCGGGATGAGGTGCTGGCTCAGAAGATCCGTATCTATAGTTGGGTAAGAGAGGCGCATCTTGACATACCACCAGTAGGCTCTCATGGCCGTCGCTTTTTAACTCTCGCCCAACAAGGTAAGCAAATTTCCGTTCTGGCCACAGATATATCACTGACATGAATTATAGAGCTCTCGAAGATTAACAGCTACCGGGCACCCCGCGATAAGGTTATCTGCATCTTGAACTGCTGCAAAGTCATCTTCGGTGAGTGACTGCCTAAGGAATGATATGTGTAGGCGTCAACTCACAAGGATGCTGCAAGGTCTACTGAAGAATTCGAAATCATCTGATACTTCAGCCGACTCATTCGTACCCCTTCTGATTTATGTGGTGCTGCATGCCAACCCGGAGCACTTGGTCTCTAACATTCAATATATCCTTCGATTCCGCAACCAAGACAAACTCGGAGGAGAGGCCGGTTACTACTTGTCCTCACTGGTAAACTATATAATGCAAAGCTCGGTAGATTGGGCGAGTAGCTGACCGAGATATAGTCCGGCGCCATCCAGTTCATTGAGACCCTGGACAGAACGAGCTTGACAGTGAGTGACGAAGACTTTGAGCGAAATGTTGAAGCTGCCGTCTCGGCCATCGCCCAACAAAATCGTGAGTCTGAGTCGCTAGAGCCGAAGTCGACCCAACGATCACAATCTGCACCAAGGTCTTCCGTGGATGTCCCACGGGGCCGGAGAGAGGCGACACAATCCAACGATGAAGACAACGCTCCAGTAGCTGGACTCCTGCGTACTATCCAGAAGCCGCTGTCTACCATTGGAAGAATTTTCTCTGACGAGCCCGATTCACCAGAGGAACGACGGACACCGCCAGCGACGAGCTCACCAGTCAGCCCCTCACCACGGCTCAATCCAAATGTTTACCAACCACCTCGTAATAGCGGCGAGGATCGACGATCAGGCGAAAGACCCCGCAATGCATCACAGCCACGGCGGGCTAGGACTCATGGTGCACAGGATGCTGCTGTTCGACAGGCTAGTGCTGAGGACGCCGAGGCACGGAGGATACAACGTGTTGAGCACAACAATATGGTGGAGACGTTGTCAAACATGTTCCCAAATTTAGACCGCGACGTCATTGATGATGTTGTCAAGATGAAAGAGGGGAGGTAAGTGTTTCACCCCCATTGCTCAGATCCAACACTAAAAGAAAGTGGCTTACGTTGTTCCACAGGGTTAGGCTAGCAGTAGACGCATGTCTTGCTCTTAGTGCTGAGTAAACTCCGCGGGACTGTTCGGTAGTAGCATAATTACTAGATTGGTCCATCGTATGGACTTTGCGCTTTCCGTCTATGATGCCTATGTGGTAGTAGCAATTCATGTACCTATTGCATGCCTTGAATATGGCACCTACTTGTATTAACTGATGATCACAACTGCTATAGAAAGCGGTGCTTCGATATACTTATCATGAAGATTTTTATCTTAATGAATTCACTTGTAGTATCACTGCATACGACAAGGCGATGCCAGTAACAAAAGCCTGTATTTCTATTAAGATTTAGACAGCCACAAGCTGGTGGAATACAGCTACTAGTATCTGCCTCACCGCCGCCCCTCACTTCAGTAGGGGGACGGCTACGGCTCAACGTCAGTCACGGCTCAGCGTCAATTCCCGGCTCAATGTCACTTTTCAATATATCGATGTTGTCGCTATTCTTTAAGCTATTCACACCATATAAAAAAATCCAACTAATCTATAAAGCTGATGAAGAGCTTATCCAAAAAGCCCTACACGTACAATGAAAAATGTTGCGTAGAAAAACAGGTTAATTGCGTGCAATTCATTTAATCGAGTCACCTAACCCACTCAGGCAAAAGGCTCAATAGAACAGGCCTATATCGCACAGTAACTATACAATCGCCTAGATCTGTGCCTCACCGCTTAAAATAGCTGCTACAAAGGTCCTACTAAGATGAGACCCACCCTCCTCTACATCAACCAAAGTCTGATTTAAATGCCTATACTCTTGGAAATATTAGTGGCCACAATATCGTGGTAGCTTGTCTACCGTCCGGAATTTATGAGACACCATCTGCAGCGGTTGTTCTCGCTAATATACTACCAATGTCTCCCTCTCTTCGATTCAGGCTGATAGTAGTGAGTATTGGAGACGATGGTAGTGAGGAAGATTGCGTGGAAACAAAGGAGGTCGGAGATTAGTTATAATATTGTTTAGTATCTATAGTACCGTAGATAGTTAAGATAGAGGATATAGAGTTGTCCCATTGAGTAGATAGATAAGGCAGTATAGCTTCGGGATTATATAGTATAGGATAGATTGGAATTTTACTGTCAGGGTCGCAGGGCTGGTGCCAGGATGCCTTCATGGTGGGGGGCGGTAGTTGACTTGTGTTGGGGTCAAGGAGAGGAGGGTGATGGTGATGTCGCTGTAGGGCCCGAGGTGGCCGTTGCGGGTGTTGAGTCGGTCTGCTTTGCTACAGTACGAGGGGGGTGGGCCCTCATTTAACCTTAAAATTGAGGTGGCTCGTAAAATTGGCGTACAGAAGTATACTGTATACTTGTTAAATGGCAATTATTCGTTTATTTTAGCATAACCCTAAGATACTGTAATAACAGCTAGAGATTTTCCTTAATAAACTCTCCTTTTGCTTGACTAGTTATAAAGTTACCACTAGAAATAAATATCCTTGCAGATTTCCAATGTATGCAGAGGATGCTCTTTATGCCAAAAATCATCCTGGTTCCCGAGTAGCGGGACAATTGACCTATAGCGGAGGATTGACAGACTCAAATCTTGGAGGATTTAGACTCTGCTGCTAGACAAGCCACCTCTTCTAAATGGAATGGTGAAGTGTAACTATCAAGGTTTAAGAAGAGTGGTGGCTTCTAGGAAAAGCAAGCTAAACTAGAATTTTTCTTCCTATCTCTAGCTCTTGGATCGCCTTCAACTATGTTCTCCTTTGTCTAAGTATATATATATGAATGTGCGCCGTATTTGGTGAATGATTGAAAGCAGGTACTGTAGAACCTGTGCTAGTGCTTACCTTTTTTCTTTTTTCTAGTCCTTGATTTCTGCGACCAGAAAGGGGTGACTGAGTAATTCTGCTGTTGATGTTTGCTTTTTGGGGTTTTGTTGTAGTATCAACCAAAGGAGTGATGCGAGGCGCTGAATGTTCCTAGCACCAAATCTGGGGGGCAACCTATCTGTCAGATGCTTTATGAAGGTCTCAATTATATTACTATTCCTGTTGAGTAGCTGGCTGATAAGGTAAAGGTGCTCTTTATCAATCTGCTCTGCTGAGTGGCCAAATGTTCCCAATGGAAACAACAGTTTGTTTGTCGCCAATCCAAATATGTTGTGCGGATCAGAAGGAAGTCATGGGTTTACAGGTCCAGGGATGCATACCAAACAGCTCAAAGCCTAGATATCAATTCCAGCATTCCAAGAATTCCGATGTATTAGCTCAGGTGCACGTAAAGCTATAGGTATTACAGGTCTGTGGTTACATCCCTGATCCTGTATAAGTGATTGATGTGAGTTTTTGCATGAGGTTCGAAATTAATATAACGCGTGCATCCTATCTCTACCCAGATTACCAATCTTAACCAAGAGATCAGAGAAATGTGCATCGTCTAATTGACCCCGACGTCTCTGTGTAGCTATCAAATAATTCAGCGCACTACCATCTACTGTTGTTCCTTCCAGCCATCTTACAGGCTGAATTCTGGTAGCCCTAATAGTGTCTCACTGTGCACAGCCCCAACAGTTGAAACTGTAATATTTGCTGGTTGTAGGTCTATGACAAAAGTCAGGAGGCTACTACTAGTAGGTCTCATGCCTAGTGTGTGAAGGGAATCGAGACCCAGTAGTATCTGTTTTGAGATAGATTGTACATAGGCGGCTTGGTGGGGCTTTCCATTAACGGCCATCCCTTCGCCATCAGATACCATAATAGGAAGCACAAGAAACAAGTGTGTTCCATTTGGGCCGTCATGCTTAAAGTGATCCTATATTGAAAACGACGCTGAGCCGGGAATTATGTTGAGCTGTAATCGACCACTGAAGTCGGCGGTGAGACGGGTAACGACCCCTTGCATCTGTAACCAATAACATCATATAGCAGTAGCCTCGCTTACACTAGCGCGCTTTCAAGTGACCCCACCCATCACATAAAAGCCTCCCATGCCCGACCATCTTTTAAAACTTTTCTTCTTTCTTTTTTTCATACTTACCTTGTTTGGGTGGCTGCGATCAAGAAGGCGGTCCACCACGGATTGGTCCCTGCATTGCACAGCGCGGCGGAACAATCCGTTCAACGGCCTTCGGGTCATTGACAGGCGTATTCTTTGGCACTCTTCTCTCTACGAGAGATATCCTTTTCATCAGTTCTTGAGCTATATGCTCGAGGTTGAAGAAGAGGCTTATCTATTCTCCCTGTATATGGTGTGAAGTCCTTTAATTAGATAGTTCACTCTGTTGAATCTTGGTGACCATTGGCAACCTCGTATTAGCTCTCTATCCGCTCTCTACAAACAAACACCCGCTATGTAGGGCGCTTTTTGAAGTTTTAGAGAAAAAGCCCGATCGAGTACTGGTAGACTCGAGCGAGCCGTACTGGGTAGTAGTTGCATCATCAACCCTGCTTATTAAGCTGTTTTGGCCCGCCTGACCAGGTGCAACCAAGCAACTTTCTGATCTAAGTTTAACTCTATTGTCCCCATACTTGTCCTCAATCTATAGACACTTGATAATCTCCCTTAACTCTCGAAACCTACCTTTGCCTTGCCACTTCCTCCTGTCTTCTGTACTTTTAAGAATTCTCTTTCTCTACCTAGCGCCATTACGAAGCCCTCGTGTCTAGTCACCGTTACCTTTTTGTGAAGCTATTTATGCAACAGAATATGCCTACCCTGAAATGCCTCCCCGTGGTCAAAAGCGCTTACATGACGGAAGGAATATCCTTCATGTCGACCCTGCTACTCTTAAGCCGAGGAGCTTGAAATACTTCAGTCTCCCGAGACCAGCTGGGATGCTCCAAATGGCCCTGAGAAGTTACGCACTTCTAAATTGATGTTTGACTTGCCTCTGAGCGCCTCTAAATTACCAGGAGCTACAGTTCCCGCTACAAGATTTAATGGTGTTGTTGAGGCGAAATATGCTGTCGAGGTTGATTATCATTAGTATAGTCCGTAAAATGACTGGCAACTTAGGGAGAGCCCAGACCTTAGCGAGAGAGGCTTGACGTTATTAAAAAAAGACCGATAAATTGAAATTTATAAAGACTTAGACACACGCCGCAGCCAGGAGGTATAACCAGCATTCCCATCGCAGCCAGCAGTATCCCAGCTTATCATAACACTCATGTTCTTTCAATTCACGCTCGCCATGAGGACGAACACTATCTTCATTTTCTCTCTCAATACCTGCTATCGAGGGCTTCGGAATTACTGGGGCGCGAACTATCGTCGACGAGTTACGACTTGGATGGACTTAGGTATACCGTATAAGGGCATCTGCACGCTGGAGTCGGCCATGGCGGGTAGGAAAGGGTTTCAGGTACCCGGCAAAGGCTGAGGGGAAAGAACCTTCATCATCTTGACGACGGGTATAGAGTTTCCTTCATATATAAGGGTTTCTGTGGCCTCCCCGTTCAACCTGCTACGTCCACATCGGCTGCAAATATTCGGAGAAACCAGTACCGATATCACAGTTCTCAGACCGGATTTACAATATTATCCACAGCGAGGTAATGTGGAGGAAGAGAGAACACGATGTGCAAATAAAGAGAGAAAAAAAAAAAGAACAAGAAGGTCCTACCCGGGTTCGAACCGGGGTTATCAGAATATCAACACTGAGATCAACTAGAAAGCAATTAGTATTAAGTACTGGAGGAGTTGAATAGTAAGGTAGACCTACAATCTGAAGTGATAACCACTACACTATAGGGCCTAGCATGGCATTGCCGAATCAGTATTTTGTATTGTTAATTGATTGAGGGATAAAACCTTGCTTTCAATAGTGAACAAGAGTGAGACTGACTATGAGACAGGTTGTTGATAAGTCTATTGAACCATTATCTGCTGGCTCTGAAATCATCTTGTATGTAGTATGGTTTGATACTCGATATCGCTACTGTACTACTCACAAGAGCTACACAATCAGTCACATAGGCATGCATTTATATAAAAATATATATATCTAGTGTTAATCTCCTATCCTATCCAGCATCAATTTGTATTTTATACATTCTAGCGCTCAACATCTAAAGCCATGTATTTAGTATTCATTGTTCTTGTTCTTTTCCTTTTAACCAGTTTAACTGCGGTCCTCAAGCCAGGAAGAACTCAGAATTGTAGCCAATATCACAATTAAACAAGGTTATAAGTTCTAGTCTTTCTCGAATAACAACCACAACGGGTTGCGTAGTGTAGTGGTTATCACTTCAGATTGTATGTTTATCTTACTATGCAACGACTCCTCTATCAGTTGACTAATTAAACCTCCAGTTGATCTCAGCATTGATATTCTGATAACCCCGGTTCGAACCCGGGCGCGACCTTTAACTTTTTGCGGCCGACCCCTAGGGTCGGGATTCCTAGGGTGGTGCTTTTTGCTTTTTGCTTATTGATGGATCTTCCTGTTACGAAGGAGGGGTCAACGTGATTGCACACTCTGCTAGGCTTGCTCTGGGATTCTCTTAAAAAAAAGAAAAGAAAAAAAAAACAGAGATAGCTGAATTCATTGCTATGCCTATTGCAAGTTGTTAAGAATAGGTCCAGGACAAGCAATCAACCACACATAGTACTGCGCTGCACAAGTATCCATATGTCCAGATTATTTTACAGTTATAGGCATCATAGCATCATAGCATCATAGCCCTGCAACATGTCCAAAGATACCCTGATGAATAATATCTCTGCGGCTAGATTTCGATTATGCGCCCCCCTCTCTCTTCGCATATTCCTCCTCCATCCTTTCTTCGTATAGACGGTCCGCCTCCTCTTTGCTTAATGGTCTTTCCTCCGATGCGGAGGAGTGCCCGGGCGCGTAACTGTACCACCAGATCCAGTCCCGAGGACACGACCGGCGCCGTTGTTTGTGGACGAAAGGGTTTCAAGCGACGCCTGGCCAGCGGTGCCAGTGACGGGGGCGTTCGAAGTGTCTTGGTCGCTGTACGTGGGGATAGGCATTTTTGGAGATGTTTTAACTGAGAGATAGAGATGCTGGATAGTAGATGGTTTGATGAGAATAGTCAAGATATTCAAGTTGTTGAATGTTTATGTGGGGGTTTCGCATGAAATGTGGCAATATCGAGTGACGTCATAAATAAGGAAACTAGTGCCGCTATTTTTTGCACGCATACCTCTCTGTATTAAGCAGATAAACGATCGAAAGCATTTTTTTAGAGTTACTCGAGGTCCTCTTGTAACTTACAGGAACACAGCTAGAATACCTTCCAGAACTGCATTGCCCATGTAGAATTTTTGTTGCTGATGCCGGAGTGGGTTAAGTATGTCGTATGGAGGCTAGCCTTGTTCCTGAAGCGGTATTTCTCATTGTATGTATAGGACCAGGAGGGTTAGTGTAGTCGTTTTATTATATACGTTGCTAGTCCCCCATAGATATTCATACCTTTATTCATGTTTCTCAACAGAGGCCTAACATGATATGAGGCCCACTATGCTGTATAGTCGCCATCACAGGTTCAATATATAACACTCTGTGGCAGAGCTAGGGAGTTGAAAGCAATCAGTTGAAGTATTCAATGTGATGTATTAAAAACCAAAACTCTAAGATCATCCTTGAACTGAGTTTAAATCTGGAAATAAACAAAATATATGCGGAAGATATCTTGCAAAACTTATAAGTTCGTGGAACCCGGTTTATATAGGTGTACGCACTGGTTACTCAGAACAGGCTGATCCAGTATACGAAGGACAAAGATAGGAAGGCATGGGAAGGCATGGGAAACCGTTGTGAAGGATACGGAAGAAGTTAGGAAGGAGAGTTTGGCGGAGCTAGCCAAAGGTCCCCGGGCAGACCTAGATGCAGCAATGCTAGTAGCTGGATTCTGGGATTCTGACTACGGTTGCGGTTTTTCTACCCACTTGGATAATGAGTTGCTAGATGTGAAGGAAATGAGTGAAGCTGGGCTGAGGATGTTAGTGGAAATTTTCTTGCGTAGTAGCATCGCGGCATTGATTGCAGTCTCAAATTAAAATGGACAAAAGAGCAAAATGCAGACCCGCGGGTGCGTACTGTAGCAACTGACATTCTAGTACCATACATGAACGGAAACCATTTGCAAGGTTGAACTGCAAAATTGTACTGGTGAGAAGACAGCATATCTCATCATGTTGCGCTCAACAAATTTTCCCTCTTGATATCATCAATAAATACCGAAAATTATCTCACCACCGAGGTTCAATCAGTAGTTCCATCCCTTCAAAACGTTAAGCTGACAAGAAACAGATAGAGAAATGCCCATGAAACACTTCACTTGGACACATTGGTCAAGTCTGCTCTTAGCTTCTCCAATAGTGGATGGCTTGCTAGCTCTTCAAGTCGGGTAGTTGCAACATGGTATTCCTCTTGGGCATCACCAACGCGGAGGAGATTCTCAGCCGGATTATCCTTAAAATGTTGGCTCAACGAGGTGAGTTTCTGTTTCTGCGAAATGGTTGTAGGATCTGTCTCTACATAGATATGTTCAACAGGCAGAATTTGAGCGCTCCAAAAGTTGAGAGCTCCGTCCTTTGCTAGATGTTTGATATCTTCAAGTGGAGAGCGGCAGATTTTGTCGTGGAACGGGTTGGATTTGGCCGTGTTGTCATTTTGTACCTTAAAATCATTCATTGCGGATGCTTCCTTCTGCATATAACTCAAATCGTGGGCGACATCACTCTGAAAATTTGCGAAGAGCGGATTCTGGTCTATAATCTGACGGACCTCCTCTTGCGACAACACAGCGGCATCATACTGGCCGCTTAACCGTAAAAGCTTTGCTTCATCATCAAGCGCAGAAACTGTATAGGGGTTGGTGAGCCCTAGTTTATCCTTAAAGAACGTGGCAACTCCCTGCTGCAACTTGAGTGCCGGGGGATATACCTTAGATTTGAATATAGCTCATGGGTGGAACACCCAGCTTAACTGGTGGGAAAATAAAAGGAGCGGCACTCGTAGCGAGGCAGGCTTCCCAAATTTGACAGTTAATATTGTCATCATCCCCGGAGTAACTCCTTAGACGATAATGTTGGAGTTTTTTTGGGTCTTGGCGGTTGACGCATAAAGCCCTATCGACGGTTTTTGAGACCGGTGCAAGGATGAGACAAGGACTTTACTTACACTTTCGACATGTGTTCTTTGTCATATTTCATTATCACGTCGTTCCATTTGTTTAGATACAATTTAACCAGCTGTTTGACGACTTTGGCAAATGGCTCCGGGTCAAACATGTGGCGTTTTCTTGTGAAACGGAGACCTGAAGCGAACTTATCTCGGGGAAAGATCTTTGGAGCCATTTCTGTATACTGGCTTATACACGCAGGGATATCCATGTGAAGCATACCCAGCATAACAGCAATCAACCTGCAACCATTTAACATGTAAAGCGGTCAAGAGTGGTATAAACACACCCTCCTGTTGATGTGCCAACTATCAGGTCGAAGTACTCGTAAGGTTTAATGCTATCTCTTCCCTCGAGACGACTGATCTTATCCATCAGGTTTTGGAGTATGTAGAGGCTTGAAAGACCACGTATGCCTCCTCCATCTGCTAATACTGTTCGTAATTGGTTAGCGATGTATGGCTTTGGCATGTGTACCAAGTGGAAGTATTCTTAATGGCCTAGCAGAATCGTCCATGGTAGCCATAGTACGTGTTTCTTGTAGGTAGTGTGCGTAGTCCAAAATCGGGGTCTTGGGCAAGGATGTTGGAAAACACAGCTGATTCCTGAACTCTACAAACGTCTATATACCTAGGCACACTCGATCACAGGAATGGTTCCTCGGTACGCTAGATCTTATTTCTCTTTGAGGTTAATAGTGGTGTGTGGTGGCGATAAAAAGTCGTAGACATTTTCAGTAGATGAGATGCTATAGGCCAGGCAGTTCTATCATTCCTAGCAAACGTTCGTTTCCATCAAATCTGACACTAAGCCTGTGAACCCTCGTACTGGCCCTGCTATAGTTATCCCTCAGAGGTGGAGGAACCACAGTAGAGTATCCTTAACGTATAGTGCCCTGTTATTGAATGTGAAGGCTTAAAGTTAGTCTGTTCACTACCTTCTAGTAAAAGCGAAAAAGTTGGGAAACGGAGTGGTCTGACTTGTCCACGTAGGCGGCTGTCATCGATTATTGTATTCTTCCAATAATCATTCATAATTGTACAGACCTCTTCATATTGTGACCAGTTTCAGGCTTTGCAAAGCTTGAAGCCAGCTGATAACAAAACACTTTTCAAACGATGGTTATGACAACTCGTTTTATCAATGGGGGCTTTCTTCTATGTTTATCCTGTATCACTTATCGGATCTTATGTTAGGATTACAGTATATCAGGAGTACCTGAGAAATACTCAGGAATGAGTATGTGTAGGCTTAGGGGACAATGGCAAAGTCAAGGATCAGAGATTGTCCTTGGTCATCCCTTCCTCTTATAAGAGCCATAGCAACATCAACAACACCAAAAACAGCAACAGTGATAAGATTTGGCGAAACCAATTTCGTTTGATACATACAATAGAGGAGCAGGTGATCGAAAGTGAAAGAAAGGGAATGTCATCTCTCAGTCATTTCAAGGCTCTATCAAAATGGTTAAAGCATCATGAAGAGCAAACAGTCCTCCGGGTTTAGGCTTCTACTCTGGAGATTTTGAAGCCGCCAGGGAATCGTGTCTGAAATGCTCCCGTTGGATCATATTTAGCCGCGACCTTTCGCATGTAGTCCACATTCTCCTTGGGGTAGCTCCCGAGGGGATTCTGCGAAAAATCGGCATAGTTCAGATAAATCAGTGGATTCTCTCCACCAACTGAGGATGAAAAGCTCTTAAGCTCCGCAACCATTTCATTCATCCGAAATTGAGCGACAGCGAAATCGGATTGATTGGTGTACACGAACACACCTGCAGTCCAGAGAATGGCATTGTGATCTTTCAAGGTGTCTGCAAACATGTTGCCCCCCTTCTCCTCGCTGATTTCGGCGAAGAATGAAGGTAGCGGCTGGAAAAAGACGATGCTGTAAAAGCTCTGTTCTCCAATGACTCGACTCAACTTTTGAGCAAACTGCTTATGTACTTCCGCAGCATGGTTCAAGATTCGTTTATCATTCTTAAACGTCAAGGTGGTTTGCAGAGCCCTGGGTTCTATTAACATTTACTATGCATGGTGTCGATCAATTGTCTTACCAGGCGTTTCCAGGGAGAGTTGTGTTCGCGGCCGCCACAGAGAGAGGCGCAACGTCTTGAGTGAATGGCGATGTCTGTGGAATCTGTCTCAGTTTATTGAACGCAGTACTGTTAGTAACGCCGTCAGTGTTGACTTCAATCGTCGCCAGGATATCCTCTCCCCCCTTGTGCACCAAAATTGCAACTAGGGCATCCTTGTCAAATCTCTTCTGGTTGTTAGTAAAGTCAACCACCGCATCCACTAGCTCCGTAGAGTGGTTTCCCAGCATTGTTCGTTGGCCATGCGCAATGTTCTTGTCCTCTAGGGCCTCCATGTCGTACCGAGTGACAATACCAAAATTGCTACCACCACCCTTCAAAGCTTTCCACAGATCAGAGTGCTCGTCCTTATTCGCGTTAACAATGGTACCATTGGTCAGAACAACCTCAAAGTTCGTGATAGAGTCACAGCCAAAGCCCGTTTGCGCCATGTAATAAGTGGAGCCACCACCCAGCAGAAAACCACCGACCCCGACATCACCATCGCGACCACCAGTCACGACAACGCCGTGCTTGTGTAGTTCTGCATAAACATCTTCCCAGTGGCTGCCAGGGCTAACGCTGGCAATGTTTGTTTTGCGGTCATAAGTGGTTTGATTCAGGTATTGCAAGTCAATGGTCACTCCGGTATCGATGTTGTTTGAGTATCCAAGATTATGGCCACCTGCACGGACTGCAATATACCAGGCGCCGGCACCGGTCCCATCACCAGCTCCAGCGTCACTCTCTAACAGTGCGGTCATTGCAGTAGATACTTCCTTTGCATTATGGGGCTGAACAATGCAATAGGGGTGTCGTCGTGTGTTCCAGGCCCAATAGCTCTCAATGCGAGGCTCATATTCCGGGTCCGTGGCGAAAAGAAGTCGATTGCTAAAGCCAGATTCAATCAGGGCGTCGCACTACATCACATCAGTAACTTCCATAAAGCACTCTAAGAGAGATGGGATAGGGTTTGGCATACAGGAGGAAATCCTGTGGAGTTTAAACTCGTGGAAATTTGACTAGCAGCTGCAGAGCTACTCAATGTCAGGAGTGTAGTAGCCATTAGGCCTACACCATTAAAATCAAGCAGCATATTGCACCGCACTGAAACCAGAGATAGATCGATTTGGTGACTTTTATCAGATTAGAGAAATAGGCCGAGTTGTTAATATCAACCACAAGCGCCGAAGAGCAGCATTTTATAAGTTTTTCGTGGGTCTATCAAACCTATGCCTTGGATCTATCAGGAAAATAGTCATGCCAAGTCAATACTTCTCATTCATAATTCGATGAATATAGATCAAACTTAGCCCCATTCGCGGCTTGTCCCAGACAGGAAAATACAAATGCCAAGATACGAGGCTGAGAAGCACTCGCTGTCTGAACTTTGACATTATTAAGTATTATTGGTCTTAACGCCTCCCGCTCCTTAAGGTAAAGAAGCCGCAGTCCACGTCAATTCAAAGGCATAGATTGTCTTGGCGTCTGTATTATCCTGATTGGGTAAAGTGTTGAATACTAGGTAACTTTCTGAGAGTTTGCTATGCATCCATGTCAGTTACAGATGCAATAATTATATTTCTATTTGCTTTAAACGAGAAAAGGCATTTTCTTATAAGAAAGAGAGGCATTTCCATTCTTTACACTAAACTGTCTTTTTTAAACAAGCCTCGCTTCCACCTCTTCCTTCCAGAAAAGGCAGTTGTCTGCTACAGATTACCCATCGCATTTGTCGGTGTCCCCACCGTTGTCATCAAAAACATATAACATTGCTAAAAGCCTTATCTACCGTCTTAAATAACTCGTCACATCCGGCGGGGTCATCTTGGTATTGCTCTATGACCGATTTAGCAGTATCAAGAACAATTTTTATTGGGTCTATATTGTCGACAAGACAGTCGTGTATAACACGCAGATTATGTAGTTGTCATAATAGACCCTGTACTGCCGTAAAAGTGACGAATACATATCTGTTCCGACTACTGTCAGAGCGTAGCTCAATCTTGTGATATATATCAAGTCGGTCGCTTGTAATAGACATAGTGTTGTCCGCCATCAATATTCACTGAGAATATACCGGCAGCGCCGTTGCGTTACCATCTTTCTTCTGTCGGAAATCTTTTTCGAATCTATATTTGAAAGCTCACTTTTTAAATCTCAGCCTGGGTTTTGCCAGCCTTGTATTGATTGTCGCCATTCCCATATAGCCCTGTTAATCACAGCCGTGAGTGGCTATATATTCCAGCCACAAATGACTTGTACTATGTGGGAGGTTCATGTATTTTGTACGTATTCTGTTAGCAATACATTTAGATGCTAAGTTGTATATTTAGCATAATCGCCAATATACTTATCTAGGCTTCCTACAACTTCAATATAAGTAGCACCCTGATTAATGCAAAGACCTAATCGAAAGGTTGACTGATTGATTGCTCCAGCTGCTCCTTGGACAGTTATACCAGATTTTTCTTCTTCTTCCTTCCTTCTTTCCTTTCCTTTGTTCACTTGACGTAGAGGTAGGTGTAAAGGGATTCAGAATGAGTCTGAAAGTCAACGGTCTGGCAAGTTGAATCTGAGTGCTGCACGAGCAAAGACACAATCCTGGGTAATTTTTACTATTTGGGCTGTTTTGAGAACAGTTGAGGTTTATGCCCCAAAGAAGGTCTAGGAAGGCGTCTATCCGAAGGAGCAGTTCACGAACTGGAGCATTTGTCAATACTATAGAGTGTTACCGCTTTCTGCGTAGGTAGTCGATCCCGACAGCTATACTAGTTAGTTAGTACAGTGTCGAACGCCGACACCAGTGGAACAATCTTCATCCTCAGCGCTATTCGCACCGTTAGAGTATAAAACCAGGTCATGGCGTGCCTAATCTGGTTTAGCGGATGTGATAACACCTCTACTTATCACGTGATTGAACGTGCTCATCAAAAAAAGTCTCTCGCTCTCCGTTTCGAACCCGCTCCAGTATCAGAATGCCATTCTGGACCTCCAGACACTCCTACCTCTATATCGAAAGGATAAAGGTTCAAAAAAAACTGGTAGCTTCTCTTTGATTGAGCGTGTCATCCTTAGTGCAGGGGCCATGCTAATCTTCTCTGTATCGTTTCAAATTGACCAAATGCCCGAAGGCACTTGGTTATCTTTAGAATGATTTATATACCCTTCAATTTTTGAATCTGAGCTATCTGATTGGTTGATAGTTTAGTCAGGCGGGAAGCGTTGGCTTACATAATTGGGAACACCAAATGCGAAAACCCCCGCTTTTACCGCCTCTGAATAACCCCTGCATGATGGCGACGAGGTTGGTATTGTCTATCTGTGTATTAAGTACTTGGAGCCTTGGAGTAGTCTAGAATACAATGGACAATGCCCGATGCATGGAGTTCTTACTTTGTGGTATGTATGCGTTTTGACTATCAATTGAGTATCTTTGGGGCTGGTGTGCACGGGCTCTGTGTACTCTGGGAGCAAAATATATAGCCTAAAGAGAGTGGCTGCTAATCACGTTCCAAGAAAGAAAGAAGAGATGAAACTAAAAAATAAAATAAAAACAATAAAATAAAACTAGCTGGGACTTGAGAAAGTCCAGGATTTGACCAAAGATGAAGAAGACGTAAGAAAATGATCGAAAAAGCAAGCCCACAGTTGAATTTCTAAAGAGAAGTGAACCAGCAAATGTAAAGTGTGGTCCGAGTGGTCCCTCGTATTTCCGTCTGAATGCGCGGGGACTATTGGCTCGGGGCTTATTCGAACAACTACTAGCAAGATCAGGGGTCTTGAGTGGGATAGATTCCCAACCTTCTCTTTGCCTCCACGATTTCCACAAGAGAAGGTATGCTCCGTAGATCTATATCGAAAAGGGGCCCAAGATGCAAGATGCCTGACCGTTAACGCGTTCTCAATATTTGCGGTGCTGTGCGCCGCAAGACCCACGCTGTGCTATTCCTGTTCCTGATGCAGATCTGCCTGGCTCGATCTTGTCCTAACAGGCTAGTTCGACGAGAGTTTATACATCGACTAGTACAACTGCAGTCGGTTGGAACCCAAGATCCTTCATTTCCGCAATACGAGATGATGAGCCTCATCCCACTGCACCAGCCCCTTTTGGCTGTGGATCTACGTTGATCCGCGGGAAAGCATCTCCAGTGTGGATTACGGTTGGTCCCTGGACCTCGAGAAGACGTCTATTCTAGGTCTCGGCTCAAGATAGGTGTTAGAGATGACAATCTCGAGTTTAAACACGAGCAGGAGTTGCTTGGAGCGCGTTGATCACTGCCCACGGGAGACGTATAGCGCGAGACTGATACCACTTCTGGAAAAGCCGCCTGGATATTGAGAAGTCTGATCGTACATTTGTGTGCTTCCACAACTTATGTCTCGGGGCTATATAAATCATCGGAGTCGCCATGTAAGACAGGGTCCTCAAGCGCTCATTCACTCCTTTCGCTCATTAAGTTTAACTGGACATACGTTATCTTTTGCTTGAAGCAAGAAGTTCATATATAATACCCTCTTTACTTCCTGACGTTATTTATACTATATAACAATGCAGTTCAAGACGCTTCCCTTCCTTATGTTGGCTGCCACAGCCCTGGCTGCCCCCGAAGCCCAGCCAGGGGACACGGACAGTGCTCAATCCTACATTGACAAGCTCGAGAGCCTGTAAGTGCTGATACCAACCGCATAGTTAGAATGACTGCTGACCCGCAACAGTGCTACCCAGACAGATATGCCCGAAGGCATGCCAACCAACATGCCCTCGATCAATACGCCCCCCCCTTCCATCATGTCGGTGCTCATGACTGCCGTCCCTGCTTCTCTCCTCCAAGATATGGGGAACGCCGCTTCTCGATCGTCCTTTGCTAGTGAGATCAGTGCCGGTAACTATCCCGACTGGTACAAGAGCCTCCCCGGTGATGTCAAGACCTACATCTCGACTGCCTACCAAACCGATGCACAGGCCACTGGTGCACAGAAGACCGGCGATTCCACCGCAACTAGCGGACCTAAGGCGACCGGTAGTTCTGGATCTGACTCCAAATCTTCTACTTCGGAGGCTGGTGCTGCCCCTACTGGTGCTGTTGCAGTTGGCTTGGCCGGTGCTGCTGGTATCCTTGGCCTTGCTATTGCGCTGTGAGATTCTCGATTGTGCTTGTTCTCATTGGTCGCACCCGAAGGAAGGACAATTTTTTTCCCATTATACAAATCCTATTAGATATATCCCATTCATTGCCATAATTTAATGCATTCTTATGTCGGTTCGACTTAAGCTTTGATTCTCTAATGATAGCATTGTTATTCGTGACCCACTTTGTGTAGTCTGTAGAAAGCAAAACCCCATTCTTTTAGGGCTTTCACGGAACGTGACCGAGCTAGCTAAGCTTCCAAGTTGACAACCAAGAGTCCAAGAATGACAAGGCTGCGTCCAATGAGAGATTTGCTGACATATAACTGTGCCTACCAGTGTTTGCTGGTGCGAAGTGCTTCAAATCCCGGTATATCTACGCATATCTCCGACATGACCGAGCTTGGTTAAGTCCGAGCAAACCAACAGCTACCGGGAAAGCCAATGAAAAGGCGTACATATAAGTTTGCCTAAACTTCAATTTTCTTTAGTCGGTATATTCGAAAGTAATTCCGAGTCCGACGGCAAACCGACATCATACTCGTCCAGTCTGATGTATGCAGCCAGAGAACCTTCTTCGAAACATCCACCACTCACAGTCTCCCTAATTGTAATCAGGTCAGACATCGCGCCAATCACCGTGACTCTATTCACAAAGCCTGGGCCGCTGTCGCACTGTCCAGTTTGAATTGGAGAAAGGATCTTCGAGGGCTGACTATTAACAGAGATGTGATTGGCCGGGAGGCAAGGAGACCTGGGCCGTGTGTTTTGGAATATAAGAATGTAAGAATTTTTCCTGGAGGTGATGGAGTTCCTATAAATAATACAGAGCTAGACCTCAGGAAGAATCTCCCTCATCGATTATCCATTGCTGTTCATTCCATTTACCTTCGTAAAGGCTCATTGCGTGCTGAATAATTGGAAGCTCACCTAGTACTATACACGGCGGAAGTCTAGATTGGGCCATTTATCTGTCGTTCTGACGTCAGTGCCACTGCCGGCATTTTTGCTTACTTCCTTCCTCTTTCGTCGGAGGCGGATCGACACTATATAGGGAAAAAAACAGTTTTCCTACTTCGCTATCCTCTTTGTGTTCTCTTCCTCCAAAAACCCATCACCATGGCGCTATTATTCCTGAAACAAAAATTATTTCCCGGCGAAGATAAACGTTCCGCCGGTAAACTTGGTATGTCTACATCTACAATCACCTACGGATGGGAATAAAGGCTGACTTGAGCCCAGGAAAGCCCTTACTCGCACCAGACGACTCCACCCTCCACAGCGACCAGGATGACATCGAATCGCAACGATCTTATAGCACCTTCCGTCCTTCATCCCCCACATCCGAATCAGGAAGCACCAGCAGTTCGCGCTCACGGATCAACCCTCGCATCGTGTCGGACGCCATCTTGGGTCTCTCAGATGGACTCACTGTGCCCTTCGCACTAAGTGCCGGCCTCTCAGCGTTCGGAAACACCAAAGTCGTCGTCCTAGGCGGTCTCGCCGAACTAGCAGCCGGTGCTATATCCATGGGCCTGGGCGGCTATGTCGGGGCGAAGAGCGAAGCGTAAGCCCTTACTTACAGTATACCAAAATACGATAGAATCACAATATGCTAATGGAAGTTGACAAATAGAGAATCATATGAAACAACAGTCCGCGAAACAAAAGAACTCATCGAAACCTCTCCCGCCGAAACATCATGCATTGTCCACGACATTTTTTCTGCATATGCACTCCCCGAAGAGGCGATTGCTCAGATCAATACCTCACTGCACGCTTCTCATGACCGGCTTCTGGACTTCCTCATCACATTCTATCACAAGGAGTCCGAGCCGGATTGTAACCAGGCTTGGATCTCGGCTGTTACGCTGGCGCTGGGCTACTTTGTTGGTGGATTCATTCCGCTTATACCGTATTTCATATTCCATCAGGTTATTGTCGCCCTTTACTGGAGTATTGGGGTGATGGCAGTTACGTTGTTGGCCTTTGGGTATATCAAGACGTGTGTGGTAAGGGGGTGGAAGGGGAGAGAGAACATTGCCGCGGGCATTAAAGGCGGAGTGCAAATGTGTTTTGTTGGTGGTGTCGCGGCAGGAGCTGCGATTGCTCTGTTAAGGATGTTCGGGGGTGGTGCCTGAATAGTATCTGGAGGTATTTCGGGCATTCCTTGATTTTATGTACACGATAGACAGCGACGGGCGTTCGGGATGGGAAAATTAGCGATGGTACTCGATTCTAATAGACAACTAATATCCAACTAGCATCACAATATAATATCTCCACTTGAAGAATATCTCATTGAACAGCATTATATACAATAACCAGCGAAAGTATTAGTTTAGCCCTCCAAAGCCTTGACAACTAAGCCCCTCGCCCTCTCAGACATGTCAATCTTCAGAGCCAAATTGCGCCCCTCCTCCGACATCTTAGCCCAGGTCTTCCTCAAAATGCTCAATACCTTCTCCTCTTCATACCCCTTCTCGAACTCCTCAAACTGGTCATCCAAGAATACCAAACAAGCCACATCTTCCAACACCTGTGTTTCCGAATCACTCTTCAACCCCTCCTTCCTCACCAACGCCGCCACCCTCCCAGCCTCCTCCGCCGAATAACCCGCCTCCAAACAGAACCCCTCCGCGATCTCCGCCTGCCGCTTCTGCAGACCGCTCCGCCAGGAATGGTACCCGATTTTAGTCATAGGATACGAAGACCGCGGGATCTCCCAGCGCTTGAGGTGCTGGGCACGAATCGCGAGACGAAGGGTCTCGGGCGCAGAGGGGCAGCGGAGGGAAAGGTATTTGGTCATTTTGTTGGCATAGTGGAGCTCGTAGGGGATTGGTGTGGGGGAGCCCGGAGGGGTGATGGTTTTGGGGTCTTGCGCATGGGCGGCGTCAATGAGCTCCAGGGCTTTGGAGTATTTGTCCATCGTGGTGGGTGGACTCGAGGGTGTCAGGTAGTAGTAGTAGTAGCAGTTAGTTGTGGTTGAGTAGGTAAGGGAACGTCGCAGTAAAGTGGGATGGTGATAAATGTATGAATTGGGGTGATAAGAAATGCGACGTCGGAGATTGGTTCGTTTTGCGGTTTCCGTTGGTTTTTTACTTTTCGGATCGAACTGAGCTTTTCTTTGGTTCGCCCCGCGTGGCATTTTTGATTGGTTGCTTTTTACTTCTGGATTTGGTATGTTTTTGATTGGTGGGTTTGCGATTTACTGCGTATACCTAGATGTATGTACCTGCCAGTCACTGTTTTTGTTAGGCTCAGGTTAGCGAGAGGAGCTTTCATTTGCTGTTGTTATCGTAGTACGGCCATATAAACATATATCCGGGGTTTGGGATAAAAGACTGATGCAATTTATGGCAGAGATCTAGTTCCATTACAAGAATGACTACCCATCAGATTATCTCCTTCCAATCTAGCAAAGCTTCTATCACACGCAGATTCATCTCATATAGCTATATGTACATATCCCTACAGCTTGGCCCTCACTTGTCCTGCAGCAGCTTTCAGAGATTTCCAGTATTGATCTTTCAGGCCCAAAACCCCGAATCCCAGCTCAGCCCATTTATCGTCCCACGGCGGCAAGTCATAAGCACTTGTTCCCGGCGCAGGAGGACCTGCTAAGTCACGGAGAAAATCAAAATACTCCTTGAAATCAGGCTTAATCTCATGGAAGAGTGAGCTTGGACCCTTATATTTCAACCTTTCGACTTCCCACAAATCCTGCTCCTGCGGGCTAGGCAAAGCCCTTGCGTTTCGACCAGCGAAATACCGCGCCACAGCGACGGCCTGATACTCGTAGACCCGGAAACTAATTGCCGCTCGCACCTGGCCTACGAGCACCAACGATGGATCCCCGATCTTGAATATATGCTGGTAGAACCCGGCCACGCGGTTGTTGGGCGTGGTGGGATTGGGGCTGAGGAATGGGTATGCGAGCTTGAACCCTGTTGCGAAGATGACTTTGTCCACGTTCTCGACGACACTCCCATCGGCGAAAATCACATTAACTCCTGTTTCTGTTGTCTGGACGCGCTCAATCGTCGGTTTCCCCTCGACATTTGGAAGCTCCCAGGCAGCTTGCAAGGCTTCGTTTTTGCCTCTCAGGGAGAGATACAATGGTCCCTTGACGATGGGGTGTAGATCTGCTACGAGATCGGCAGAGGATATGCTCCCTCCGACTACGATGACTTTCTTATCGACGTAATCATTCGCCGAGCGGAATGCCTTCGAGTGTTCGAACTTCGTCGGATGGGCACTGGAGGCTTGGTTCAGACCTGCTATGTCCGGGATCCAGGGAACGTTGTAATGTCCCGATGCGATTACCACGGCATCGAAGTGCTCTTGCCACCAGTAATCTGCTGGCTGATTGTTGCGAAGCTGACCTGGTTTCCGCAGCGTAACGGTCCATTTGTCTTCTTTCTTTTCCACTCTCTCTACCGTTGTATTGAAAGAGACGAGATGGAGATACTCCTTGAATAGGTCTTCCAGATATGAAGCCACAACCCGGAACGGACGGGAGGGATTTGCCTTCCCATATTGCCTGACTGATAGGGCGGAATTGACCTCGGGAAACGAGGAATGTGTGAATGCCATGGCTCCGGCGCCGACATTGCTGTCAAGGGTGTCGTAGATGGCTGTTCGCGCTGTTGTGTCCTCAGGTACCGGAGGTGTGAAGGTTGGGAAGTTTGATGGAATTCTACTCTGCTTCACACCTGGTGAAGTAGAGGCCGGAAAGGGGTCGGGGATTGGGTCATAGTGCCAGAGGCCTCCGACTCGATCCCGTCGTTCAAAGACGCGAATGGTGTCGAAGATCTTCTCATCGTTCAAGGCTTTGACGGCAGAAACGCCCGACGGACCGGTGCCAATGACTGCTACGCTGCGGTATCGGGGACCCATGGTACGATAATTCAGTTGAGAATTGATAAAGGAGCCCAATTGATGTTTGTTAGAAAAAAGAAAGATAGCTTCTAGACATCTTGAACCATACACCGCTCTATCTCCCTACTTATAGTTGAGTGACACCACTGCATTATTTCTCAGCATCCGTTGCGCAAAGATACCCCACAGTTTCGACATAGTAACTAAACTAACCGAACGGTTGTCGCTTGATTGTTGAGATATCAGTCTTGGAGGTGATTGGGGTGTCGGTGGGTTAGCCTGACGTGATCTGTGCTTAGTATGAGCTTTGCATCTGCGGAGGGGATATCGGCAGCCAGCATGCAATTGGCGAACAGGACTGGTCAATTACTGTTAACTCAATCGCTTATTTTTTTGTGTCACCGGAATTTTTTCAATATCTTTGTTGTGTATCCTCCCAACAAAGCTGTATTTTATTTTCCTTGATACCGACGTCGCTAGGAAGTGGAAGAGCGATCTAATTCTGAACTGGCAGTCTTCGCACCAGCCTTCACGTATCTTATCATGGGTCTTCGTCATACTGAGTAACTATTGATAGTTTATATACATATCTCTGATCATATGTTCAGTCACCTAAATATTCACGGATTCAAAACTCATAGGTTCAACATCCCTCCAGTCCCCGGACCCCGTCTTCAGTAGTCCACTTGCAAGAGCCTATTCCAGGCTCAGATGCATTCATCCCGGGATACAAAACCACATTATCAAAGTTGATATCATAACAAGGATGGTCCTTAGAACACGAGATAGTCGAAGTCACCTCATCCTCGTTGGCGACATAGCCCGTAAAATTGGCAAAAGTAATATCCGAAACAGTCATGAGACTCGTACCAGCAAACGAGCCATTATTACCCTCGTTTTGATAAATCATAGGACCTGTGTTGGCACCCTGAACCTCAAAGTTCGAGAAGATGATATTACTGACATTGCCCCAGCCGCCGCCGCGGGGGAGCCCGGCACTCTCGTAGGAGTCCTGCGGGGTGGGTACGCCAATCCATGTCTTAATGTAGGCGCTGGCATGCATGTCTTCATTGTATCGGATGAGCTGTTTTAGTCAGTGACAATTGTGACAGGATATACAGGTGAGCCGGGAAATACGTACCTTGACCTTGTCGATCCGCACACTCGCTACGCTCGAGTCTTCTTTATATTGACCCACGCTGCCGATGGCGATGCCATTGCCGCCACGACAGGTGACGTTGTGAATATCAATATCGTAGGACCTGGGCTTGATCGCGACGCAGTCGTCTCCACCTTGATATACGAAGTTGGTGAGACGGATGTTTCTCGCGTCCATTGTATCTGTCGGACGACACGTGTTAGCCTATGCACATTGACATGGGAAGCATAGCTCTACTTGCCAAATCCGTCTGTGTTCTGGACCCAGTTCTCCCCGTAGGGCGCATCTACTGCTGTCGCATTGCAGTAGATGTTGTTAAACTGCATATTGGTCCCGTTCATGATATTGAGGGCCCACAGCTGCGGGTCCTTGACGTAGAAATTGCCAACATGCACATCCGAGACATTCCAGAAGACGAAGGGCATCGGTCGTCCGGGCTGAGTGTTGCCCGCTTCAGCGGTATACCAGGCATTGCCGTTGCCGTCGATGCCTCCGGTGCCGTATCCATTGATGGTGATGTTGTGGCCGGTGATCACGAAGCCCGCCGCATGGTTCTGAAACGCAACTGGGTAAGAGTTATTGCGCCAGTAATTTAGATCATCAGAGAACTGTGGGGAGAAGTCAGTTAGTCGCACATGGTATGAAAGGTCCAAAAGCATGGAAGTCGCACCGTCCATTTCCCCCGCCATTCGATTGTCACGTCGCTCAGGATGGGGTTTAAGCGCGAAGCGATCCAATACGACTGGTCTTCGGGGAAGACAATGGTGCCCCCGTTACCGCATTTCCGAAACGCCTCCAGGAGTCTCGGCACATCGTCCGTCTGATTCCCGTTCGCTTTGACCGTGCAGATATTGCCCTTGCGGTCAATCTGGGACGCATGGCCAATAGCAGATAGCACTAGCGACAGGGAAGCCGCGACAAGAGGAGTGCTAAGCCAACGCATTGTGGGGGATATTTTATTGCGCAGAAAAGTGATGACACAGAGCTCCACAGTTCTACCGACTACAATACTGGTATACGCATCCAGTCTACATTCTATTTATCTCCACATTTCGATGGTATCAATCAGAACTTTCGCTAAACTTTCGGTGGCAGATGTACCGAAATTCTTTGATCTGCGCCCCAGCGACGAAGCATGTCCGTCCACCTAAATCGCAAAAATGCGGAGAGGATCGGCTTCGAGAGGAACGGGGACGATTGCGCGTCAACGAAGGTGTCAATCGCTGCCCCGATAGGAAGCTCTCCTGACAGAAGCTTGAATATATTCTCCGCCAATAATGCTTCTTGATGCACCATGGAAACGCCACTGCTCAAATACTGCACCCCTTCCCCTCCGGGATGGAATTATAGCGATCGATGTAGGAACCGATCAACGGTGCCTGAGAATCGAATCCTTCGCTAAATCTTTCAGCACTTGGCTGATGTCATACGTATTGACTCCTTGCCTCGCTAGAAAATAACAGGAATTCTCCGAGAACTAGGGAGAGATTAAGCGAAGAAAAGGAAAAGCAGAAAAGAGGGAAGAAAAGCCGACTTGCCCGGGGGACTCCATTTGTCTGACCAGTGGACTATGGAGGATCCATTAATGATTCAGATTAAATATTAATATTAGCATTAATATTAGTCTTGAGATTAATAAATCCTGGTGAAAGATGGAAGAGAATATGAGGAAGTGGAGCCAAACGGGGAGAGCCGAAAAGGTCTCCAGCAGAGACGCTAAATGATCGCTGGACGAACCGTTAGAAGCCAACACTTTACCGATATTGGGCAATCCGGCATTTATATAGTGTAACCCAAGGGGAAAAGACCCAAAACCAACCCCTCTTCCCCTCCCCCTGCGAAACATTCCAAGACCGATTGGGCAAGCCTCTAATATAAAAAGTCAGCCGGACAAGTAAACTACTTAATTCCACGCATCCGCCGGACGAACATAAAAAAAAAAACAACAACAATGAATGGTTTCTTGCGGTGTACCCTCTCTCCCATCCGCCTTTCTATCGGGTAAAAAACCTACTGAGTCCCCTTGGGCATTTCCCATCAAATGGCAAAAATGGCTCTGGGGTACCGGTTCCCTCTTCTCCTGTGTCTGCTGGCGCTCTTTCAATTTGCCCTGGCGCAAAAATGCTGGCGAGATGTCACATGCGCCGGACCGAAAGATAGCGCCTTTCCAGGGCCGTGGGAGGAAAACATTTACGCGCCATCGTCCAGAACCGTCAGCCCTAAGCGGACGATCTTATCGCTGGCCAGACCGAACGCCACGGTCGATTATCAAAAGTCTAAACCGTACACGTTGCGCGGAAATGGATCGGCAGTGGTGTTCGACTTCGGGATCGAGGTGGGCGGCATCGTCACGCTGAATTACACCTCTAAAGGCGGCCGCGGCGCCCTGGGCTTGGCTTTCTCCGAAGCGAAAAATTGGATCGGAGAATGGTCGGATTCCTCCAATGGTGCCTTTAAGGGTCCTGATGGTGCTTTGTATGCTAATTTCACGAAAGATGGGTCCACGTCGTATGTGATGCCGGACGAGTCTCTTCGTGGAGGGTTTCGGTATTTGTCGGTATTCTTGGTCACAGAGGATCAAGTTTCGGTCGATGTTGATGCCGTGAGCTTGGAGATTGGTTTCCAGCCTACCTGGTCTAATCTGCGGGCGTACCAAGGTTACTTCCATTCCAATGATGATCTCCTGAATCGCATCTGGTACAGTGGGGCCTATACGCTGCAGACCAATGCTGCCCCTGCGGACACGGGTCGTCAGGTGCCGATGCTCACGAAAGGATGGGCCAATAATGCGACCATGGGACCTGGAGATACGATTCTTGTGGATGGTGCGAAGCGAGATCGTGCCGTATGGCCGGGCGACATGGGCGTAGCAGTTCCAGCGGCGTTCGTTAGCACTGGCGATTTGGAAAGCGTAAAGAACGCCCTGCAGACAATGTATGATACTCAGGTATGTATACCCCTTCTGCCAATACCTATATTTCACATCTAACAATGACACAGGATAAATCAACGGGCGCTTTTGACGAATCAGGACCACCGCTGAGTCAAAAAGACTCGGACACCTACCACATGTGGTCCATGATAGGAACGTACAACTATCTGCTGTACACCAACGATACCTCCTTTCTCTCGAAGAACTGGAACAAGTACCAAAAAGCTATGGACTATATCTACAACAAAGTAGATAACTCAACCGGTCTGCTGAATGTCACCGGCACGCGCGACTGGGCCAGATGGCAGCAGGGGTACAACAACAGTGAAGCACAGATGATGCGAGTACCGCCCATCCTCCACAATATCCCTCTTATCTAACAAATACCAGACTCTACCATACCCTGACAACAGGTGCACAGCTAGCCTCCTGGGCAGGCTCCAGCACCCTCACAAACAAATGGAACGCCCAAGCAACAGGCCTGGCACAGTCCATCAACGAGTATTGCTGGGACGACGAGTACGGTGCATTCAAAGACAACGCCACAATTACAGCGCTACACCCACAGGACGCAAACAGTCTAGCCCTTCTCTACGGAGTCGTTGACCCAGAAAGAGCCAGCAGGATCTCCAAGAATCTACTGCAAAACTGGACCCCGATCGGCGCAGAGACACCCGAGTTACCGAATAACATCTCTCCATTCATCTCATCCTTCGAAATACAGGGCCATTTTGAGATTGGCCAGTCCGCCCGAGCGCTGGAGCTCATCCGACGAAGCTGGGGCTGGTACCTCAACAATCCCAACGGTACCGAGAGCACAGTGATCGAGGGATATCTAGTCGACGGCTCCTTTGGATACAGATCCGGCCGCGGGTACGGTAACGATCCATCGTATGTCTCACATGCACATGGGTGGTCCGCTGGTCCAACGAATGCGTTGACAACCTACCTCCTGGGTCTCTCCGTCACGTCGCCGCGCGGCCTGACGTGGAAAATTGCGCCGCAGTTTGGCGATCTCAAGACCGTCGAGGGCGGGTTCACGACTTCGCTGGGGAAATTCCAGGCGTCTTGGGATAAAGCCGGATGGGTACACGCTGCAGTTTTCCGTTCCGCCTGGGACGAAGGGGAACCTAACGTTGCCATATGTGAGGAGCTCGGAGAAGCCGTCGATCACGATTGACGGGAACGATATCTTCAAGGGCGTGTACTATGTCGATAATACGGCTACGATTACCGTGAGCGGTGGAGGGAGGCATAGAGTTGTAGTGTCGTAGTGTATTGATCTCATAAACTGGTTGTCTTTTAGAATATCCATGTATAACTTCCGATCCAATGCCATCAGCACTTGATACTACACAATATCCCAGCCCAACCACTATCTCAACAACCACACCATAGTCACCAATACCCTTAAGATAAACCTCCACAACCAAACGTCCAAATCACGAAGCACAACCAAGGGCACTTAAAGTCACGTGAAAACATCACCGCCAAGCCAACCAAGGTTAACCTACAACATCCGCCCAATCCGCAACTCAAACAACAACCACCACTCGACACCCAAACACAATGCGACCACCAACATCAACAATGCAGGGCACACCCCTGCGCGCCTGCACACAATGCATCCGGCGCCAATACCTCCGCCCAACAGGCCCAACGCCCACTCCGCAGCGCCTCCTCAGCACAACCCGCACCCTCCGCTCCACACCCAACAACCCGCTCCGCAACTCCACCAGCTCGCGCGTCCGCGAAGCCGAGATCGCCCGGTCCAGAAACTCAATGACACTTTCCGCGGCGGGGATTGTAGCCTGTGCGGCGGCGATGTACGGCGTGATCAAGCTGGATCTATTCGGCCTGGACCAGGCGTCTGCGAAGGAAGAAAACCAAGTGCCGGTCCAGAAAGAAGGGGCGATGAAACTGGACGGACCCACGGGATTCGGGGGGGACCCGTCCGTGATACGGGTGCAGGGACAAGATGGCGCGGAGGAGGTTTCCACGGGGACGAGCACGATTCCTACGTTTCCGAGCGTGATCCGGTTACCGAAGGACCTTGATGCAGGGGCCTTGAAGGCCGGGGATGAGGTCCCCGAATCCGTCGAGGAAGAGGAGTATCAGCTACTTGGACTGGGGATTCGGACTGTGTCGTTCCTCAAGATCCAGGTGTATGTTGTGGGCATGTATGTAGCCAAGAGCGATATCTCGGAGCTGCAGCAACGGCTTGTGCGCACGGCGGTGAGCCCACCGGGCGCGAAAGAGGGGGTTGTTGATACGCCTGGCGCGACGTCTGCGACATCGTTGGTTTCGACGGAGAGACAGGGCTTGAAGGAGTTGCTTTTGGATGCGGAGCGTGGGGATGAGGTCTGGGATGCCGTCATCAAGGCGGATGGGCTCAAGACTGCGTTCCGGATTGTTCCTACGCGGAATACGGATTTCTTGCATTTGCGCGATGGCTGGGTGAGGGGGATTACGGGACGGGCGCAGAAGGCCAATGCGAAAGCGTTGGAGGGTGCGCAAAGCGAGTTCCAGGATGAGTCGTTTGGGACTGCGTTGAATGATTTTAAGAGTCTGTTTGGAGGTGGGCAGAGGAAGAATGTGCCCAAGGGGCAGACGTTGTTGCTTGTGCGCGGTGGCCGTGGGGAGTTGGATGCGCTCTTCCACCCGGACCCGGCCAAGCCGGTGCGATTCTTGGGGCGCGTGTCCGATGAGCGGATCAGTCGGTTGGTTTGGTTGAATTATCTCGCTGGTAAGAATGTTTCGAGCGAGGGTGCTAGGCAGAGTGTGGTGGACGGGGTGATGGGTATTGTTGAACGGCCGGTTGGGACTGTCGTGCAGAAGATTGTGTAATTTTATCTTGTACATGTAATAGTAGGCAATCGATCACTCTCACTCTCATATGAATTTTATTATCCTACGCATTAAAGCTCCCTGACACCAGCTTCTATGCGGAATAATCGAGACTACGACCTCCGCCAGCCCGACCAAACACCGAAACCCTAAACACCACTAACTCCAACCCAACACTCTCACCAGCTACACAAGCGCGTCCCTACACATATACTTTTGACGCAGACACCTACAGAACCAATCACCCCCAACCCCACCATGCTCCGCGGGGTAACCCGGCGACTACAAACCCCGACCCTCGCCGACCAAGTTCATTCACCGAACCCACACACCACAAGCAACATATCAATCATATAAACCAATGCATTCCGTCTATGGTATACACAACGCTCTCAAAACATAATCTAAAGAGCACCAGAGTCCTTCAGCAACTTAGACAGATCCTTGCGACCCTGCAGATCCGAGTTTCCACCGATGTGCTGCTGCTTGATGAAGATGTTGGGGACGGTGCGCTGGCCGGTAATTTCCTGAAGGGCGTCCTGGATGGCGGTGCCGTCGCCTACAGACAAAAAAACAGAATTAGTCTCTGTCAGACATCACCGGGGCATTCTGGTATATAGAGTTTTAATTAGAAAGCGATCGGGGCTAGACGTACTCTCTTCATCGAGTTCGATGGCGAGGTATTTCGCATTCAGTTTGTCGAGGAGACTCTTGCTGGATGAGCAGTAGGGGCAGTAGGACTTCGAGAAGACGACTAAAGGTTTTCGGTCTTGCGTCAGAGGCTTGGCTTTTGTTGTACCTGGGCGGGGGGTTTGAGCTTACCGACGGCGTTGTCGTTGATGATGCCCTGGGCTTTGGTCTTAGCGGCAGACATGGCGGCTGGGGTGGGACCGGCGAAGGAGCCGAAGAGACGAGAGAAGATGGAAGAAATGGTGGGCAACTGGGTTCTCCGATGGAGAGGATATTGGAGGGGAGATTGGAGGGGTGGAGCAGGGTTTATATACAGTAGACCGGACGGGGAGTATACTTGATTGTTCCTTGCGATTCCCGTGGTTGACTAATTTGCCCGGCAAATGATGTTAGGCGCGGATTATGTAAGATGACCGGGCGATGATGTTCGATCCAGGCCTCAGGCTCACTATTAGATATCATGTCTACTGCCGATCAATCTCTAGAATACTCATGGTTTGTTTGTCTGTTATATAGATATATTTGGTATGTCAGTTCTAGTAAAACTGCTGGGCAATTGCTTCAATAGCTGTCTGTCAATACTCGCTCGGATCGCATGTAAGTCTTGAGGAACTGGTGCTAGGTGTTTTTAATGCAAAGTAAATGAAGAAGAGAAAAGGAAATGGGAATGAACCTCAACTGTACGGTCAAATTAGTCAAATCGGAAGAGTATCGAAGGAGTGCATCGTGAAGTCGTTATCAGAAGTACCCCCCCCCCCCCCCGGCTGCTTCACTTGTATGTGACCCAGGGGATCACGGCTCTTGACCTGGGAGCTTGCAGAGACCACGAGTCAATATTATTCTTTGGATTGACATGGAAGGAAATATGAATTACAACAGACACAGGGGAATCATGCAAGGAGCGACTAGCCACAACGCAAGAAATGGAAAATCCGGATGGAACGATACAAAAAAAAAAAAAGGACAGGAAATTAAAAAGGTCCTAAAAGAGGAGCACTGGTGATCAACAACAACCAACCTGACACGCTAACCGAAGGAATATAATGCGAAATGGGTTAAAAATTCCACAGAGGTAGGATTAAGAATAAGTCGCCATCAAAATAACGAATAGCTTGAGAATGAAGTACGATGTGAAAAATCACATCACAATGCAACATCCGCAACCCTTCTCCTTTGGCGGCGGTGGCTCGGCCGTTACAACGGGCGGACTCCATTTGGGTGTCAATGCCGCTTGCGGAGCCGCTGGGGAAGGCTCTTGCAGTTTGGGCATAGGACTATACCCTGTGCCCGTATTGGGTCGGGTGATCGGGTCTGGGGTCTTCGGTGCGCTTGGTGGTTCTGGCTGGAGCTGCGAAGGCGTGGGCTCTACTTTTTTCTCTGGATCCTCCACCTTCTCAATATTCTCCACAGGCCTTGGGCCATCATGGCCAACCGCTAACGGAGCAAACTCGCGATCGTACGTAGTGGGTGTCTTGCCCTCTTTCTCCCACTCCTCTTGCTGCATCCGTTTCGCATGAGTGGGCAGCATTTGCTGATCTGGGGGTAGACGCGGGTCTGGCTTATACATGGTCGCCAGCCACGGGGGGTCCCCTTCAGGGCGGTTGACAGCAGTTTTCGGACGATCACCCGGCTTCCCCTGACGCTGAGAATTGTTATTGGATGTAGTACGACTTCGGGGCGGCGGCCTCCTTGTTGACGCAGGAGCGGAGGTTTTCCGAGCTCCAGTGCCAGCTGCACCCTTAGCGGGCGTCTTTTTAGCTGCGTTAATCTGGGCTTGAACACCCGGGCTAGCAGGCCGGCTCCCAGCAGCCGGAGGCGAGGCATCTGTCAAATCCACTGGGATAGGCTCACTAGCCCTGCGAGGCATACCAAATGAGAGGGCCTCCTCATCACTAATCGTATTCGCGCGTGAGCGGTTCGTAGGCGCGGTGCTAGTAGTGGGAATGGGAATTCGAGACGAGCTCTTACGAAGACCAGGGTTGTGGTAGATGTTAGATGCGCCGTCGTCCGCCGCGATCTCCTCAGGCTTGCGAAGGTCCCAGTTGCCGCGTGCGTTATTATCAAGATCGGTCGGGGAGCAAGTGATATCTTGCTGACCTTCCAGGTTTGGCCAGGGCTCCATTTGTTCTATCGGCGGTGTCGTAACCTCATTGTGGTGCATATCATGATGTCTCCCACGCCCGGACCTAATACTCCCTGACCCTACTCGGCGCTGGAAGAGGATCTGCTGCAGCTCTTCACTTTCGATTTTCGCTAGTTTGTCACGGTGGATCCAGTTTGTATCGTCTGTGGCTTCCGGGTATGGTCCGGCACCCTCCTTCAGTTCACTCTTCCTTAGAGATCCGTTATATGTATCCTCCGAGTTCCTGACATTGCCAATGCTGCGACCCGCCGCATCCTGTCCGTAGATATCCCGCGAGCTCCCAGCTTCGCTTCCGCGCCGGCCATGGCTAACATCTCTTCGTCCTCGAGAACTCATATATCCTAACTCATGTGCGTAGGCATGCTTTGACAGTGAGGAGCTACGGGATCCCCTAGAATTACGTCTTGATCGGTTGGTGGACTCGTATGAAGACCGGGACTTAGAACGACGAACGGCACTCTACCGAAGATTTAAGGTTAGCTGATCGTCAGACCTACAAGGGAGGGTGGCGGAACTTTCTATCACAAGAATGCACAAAGGCCGAGACCGGTGGACAAACATGGGCCAAAAGGGACTTACATTTGGTGTAAGCGGGACGGAAAACTCCCACTGGTGCTGGCTCGAATCTACACCGGACGACAACCAAACATCTGAAGAAAACGCTGCCGCTGCCGCTCCCGCCATTCCAACAGCAATGAATTTAACTCAAGGAAACAAGGCCAGTCCAGCTGGAACCAAGTTAAGGGTACAGGTGTGCTTGTTTGGTGAGGTTAAAGAGAATGAATTCGCTAGATTTCTCCCCGATCATGCCATCCCAATGCATGCAGAACCTAAGCACACCAGCCACCGGGCACCTTTGCCCCAAGATCACGAAGTGCAAGCCGAGCAGCGTGTTCGGCTCAGAGGTGGGAGGTGGTCGGGGGGGGACTAAGGATGCTGCGGACAATTGCTCAGCTGGTGGGAAAAAGGGGAAGTAAGGAAGTAGCCCGAAGGAGTAATGTGTAAATAGGGGACCGGCGGAGAATACTATGTCGAGGGTTGGGGCTGAAGCAATAGTTGAACGGATACCGGCGGTGACAGTACCGTGGATGCGTTTCGGTTCAGGCAGCGGGATCAGCCAACAATTGATGGTGATAGAATGGCACAAAATTCGCAAGTCGGTGCACAGTATAGAGTCCCGTGTAATATTGCAGACGATATTAGTCTGCAGCAGGGAAGACAGTCAAAGAAAGAGGGAAATGACAGTCACACAGGGAAGGGGACGTAACCCGTCGAGGGGCGATGAGAAAGCTGGAAATGAGGGGAAGAAGAAAAGGAAAAATTAGGGAACAAAAAGGAGTGCGAGCGAACCAGAGTGTGGCTGGACTGTGGCGCCTGTAAGGTCAGTTCAGAGACACACACGAGTTGCAAATAGTAGAGAGAAAATAGAAAATAATAATAATAATAATAATAATAATAAAGGATATGGTCAAGAAAAGGGGAGGAGAATTAGAGGTGAATCAAATTATTATTAGTAGGAAAGTAGATGGAACTCCTCAAGACCCTCCACGAAGAACAAATGGAATGAACGGGGAGGGAAGGAGAAGAAGGGGCGGAGAACAAAACCACAGAGAAGAAAGAGAACGATTGCGATGGGGCACGCTATGGCTATGTTGGAGCTTAGTTACCTTTGGCGGGTGTCGACTAAGGTTCTTTAGCCTAACGACTAGTCACCATTCCAGGTCCCCAGCCGAAACAGCCTAGACCTTCAAGGTTCAAGTTAAGATGTCAAACTGTGTCAATTTACAGATGGTAAGGTTTACTGGGTATTTCAGGATATCATGATAAGAATACGGAGTACAATATGACTCGAACACCTCGAGTCCCAGCCATGTGCTCCCTCATCGGCACTGAGGTCTCGCGCAGGTGATCTCTCGCAAAGCCGTTTCCACTTGCGTTGTCGGCTGTGCCCCCTTTTATCCACTGCCAGACCACCCGTGCATTCGGTTGCCTCACTTTGGTAAAACATTTCTGCATCATTCCCTACCCTCCGTACCGACGATCGGTAGCCGATAAAGTACTCCAGGATCGATCAATCAGAAAATCCAATTAGAGTTACAGCTCTTTGTCTGCGAAGTATTACTTCCATGGCCAGATTTGGCAATCAATATCTCGGCGGCACAGATGCACAGGTCCTTCCAATTTCAGTCATGGAAATGGTGTGCCTATGCATTACGGACTATGTAAACGTAGAAGACGTCTCTCACAAGTCAACGTCAACCGCTGTGGCTGAGATCTAATGACATTGACTAGGTGCATCAGATCCACCTTCGATTTCCTTGTTGAAGCCATTCACCGACTAATTAATACAATGTGACTCTCCTCATGAAGTATCCTGAGCGTACAACTTACTCTACCTAACTAGGTTACTCAACCCACGGACTGTGGTGATGGTTCCAGAGAAGGATCTTACTGGTTCTTCTGTGGCTTTACAAGAAATGACTAGAGACCCGCAAACCACTTTGGCTTGGGACCAGTCAACAAGGAGCGTAGACTCTAGACTTTCGGCAAACCCTGGATGTGAGAGTTAGCCTTGTGAAGAGACCGGAACTTCCAAGAAATTACACTCCAACATAAAGTTGAGCAGGGACGAACACCTAATTAAGTTTCTGCACGCAGGGTAACCATTATCCAAAGATGAAAGAAGCCCCCGATGTTGACCCGGGGATGAGCTGGCTTGCAGTAGAGGCTAACTCTATTGGATTTCAAAGATACGTTGCCAGAGCATGGACATCCCTCATTGATCATCTGGAGCTTAAGCCCACGTGGCATTTGTCTAGTATTTTGATTGCGATCGACAGTATCCAATCATACATCGCTGGACGATCAGAATAAGTGCTAAAGGCTATCGAGCAGGTTATGCAAGATCTCCCAGACACACAACCAAGAGGGGTAAGTGTCATGAAAGGAACCATCATGATATATCTAATGCCTATAGTAGTATGGTAATATGACGCAGATTCTATATTCGTATCAGGCAACAATATCTGCCAATATGTTCATGACATATACAATGATGGGTGAGCACACCAAGCGATTAGTTATAAAGGTAACATAAAATGTACAAAAACATCAAACCGGCGAGGCGCTAGGCAATCATGCCTTTGCTTGATCCAGTTTTGTGAGGGTGGACTGCGCTTCCTTAACAAGCGCCTTGCGCGCGTTTCGAGCGTCCACGTTACCATCGGGCTCAATGCCATCTGCCCTAAGGATCACTTGTGCCAGAATCGTCTCGCTCAACTTCGCATGCTCAAATTCACGCGACTTAGGATCGGCCGGGGTATTGGCAATATATTCATCGCAAAGTGGCAGCAGCTCTCTTTGAAAGTACGCAGAAAGTGCCTGTGCTTGCTCAAGTGGGGTACTGAAGGCTTTGAGGTTGGGAGCCGGCGCTGGTAGCGTCGATCTGCCGGGGGATGCAGAGGGTGTCTGGTCGGCAGACGACGGGAGAGTGTCAGCACCATCTTTGTTCTTTTTCTTATTCTTATTCTTCTTGCTCTTGTTTCGGTTGCGAACCCTCTTCGGGCGGGGCGCATCATCCGGAGGTGCCGAGTCGCTGGCCTTATCCTCCGCGTCGGACCCCTCGCTAGGGGTACTCTCTCCTACCTCCGATACCACACATAGCACCTCCGACTGTTGTTTGAGTCCCTCATCCCGGCAGGGCAGATCATCGTCGTCCAAAAGCTTGCCCTTGTAAAGTAGCTTGACCCGCTTTGGGTCGGGAGCCCCTGTCGCCTCTGCAGCTCGTCGCCTCAACTCGCGAACGCTGAGCGTCCCATCATTAATGGCGTATGCTGGGAAATTCAGCTCATATGCGTTCCTTTTGTGTTTAAGGAGAAGCGTGTCTGGCGCATTGTCATCTTGATTCCTATATGTGCCTGCCGCACCATCGACGATGTAACTGTAATCGCTATCGCTGACTTGCGGCGTGTTGGAAACAGTGGAATACTGTGGAGAGCGACGGAAGAGGTTGGTGAACGGAGAGCGCCAGGACATGATGGCTACTGCTAGTGCACAAGCAAGGATGGTAACAGCGAGTGTAAACTTGTCGGCGGCGAAGGTGTTCTCGGTAATCCACGTTGGTGGGGGCCCAAGGGAGCGCAAAGACAAAGGCGTTTCAGCAGAAAAGGCTGTGATGAATTTGTCTTGAATGGCGTTGAGGGAAGTGGGAAACTTGTCTTTAAAGGAAGCCAGGTAGAATGCACAAGTCTCGCCCAGAAAGGACTGAGAATCGTGCGACAGCAGTTGTGTCATCAATGAATTGTCTTATAAGAAGAGGCAAAAAATTGAGCGGTGGACGCTGAGGTCATTAAGGGAGAAGCTGTCCTCTCAACTCCGAAATAGGCAAACAAGGCGGAGAGCCCAGGCGGACATTTTGCCGCAGTCACTCCTCATTCAGTGGAGCAGAACATAGGCTACTCTACGTAGTTATCAACTTGGGACGAGGTCAGGCGATAGTTGCCTGGCCTGGCTGAGCCTTGTTGGGAGATTTGGGCAATTTGCGTGAATCATGGGGTGAATCTAATAATGGGTAGATATATTGCGGCAATGATATTCTCTTCTTCTACATGAATATCCCATATAACTCCGACTTTCCTCCCAGCTGCACTACAGTCATACTTTGCATATACTGGGAACACAGACAATGCATAGCATGGCCATAATGGATAGAATTGGGGTACGCACAGTCACAATTTCTATTTGAAGAATTCGAAAGAATTTGGAGCAAAAACTTTAGCGTTTCATTAGTTAACTAACTATTATGCAAGGCTGTATGATTACTAAAGCCATCCCGATGCTACGCAGCCAATTTCCAATAAAGGAGAAAGAAAGAGCCTTGGCCTATGTTGGTCAATTATATTACGATATCTTTTTGAGTAATAGAAACACTTGAATGAAGAGTCGAGCTTCGATGTAAGTATTAGCAGTAGCAGCGGTATCCGTAGCATCTGTCCAATCAAAATGGAAGGTATAGTGACAGAGTAAGTGATGGAGCAAATAACTCCTAGTAATGGTGTGATATACTAATCAATTCCAGATGTCCTTATGTGGTTGGCAATGAGATAGTCCTCCACATTGACAGGCAGCAGGCTAAAGCTACAATAACGCATATCTTTGAACCGTTCACATTTTCATGTGCGATGGTCGTCCTGTTGGACCGTCCCTCCCAGTCTCTACATTTGAACGGCCATATGGTTTTAAAGCTCTATGACCGTCGTTTTGCAACAGGCTTCAGAGATGATCAGAAAAGCAACCCCTGGACTCCAAATATTGAACAGCAGTACCAGTAATTCGTCCTGAATGGCGATGCATCTAATTTTGTCGCCCGGCTCGACAACGATGACGGGTTCGTTGAAGAGAAAGGGTATCATTTTAGTATCGCACAAAACGAGACATACCTCTATACAAGGATGCGGGATTTTTATGAGACAGAAACTGAGGTATACGGTACCTTGAAAGATATTCAAGGTAAACACGTCCCTCAACTGTTCGCATGTGCTACATTGCGTGGGTCATCTGCGCTGCACGAGGCGTCAGTCAGCAAGTATACTGAGATCCCTGGGATTCTTTTGGAACATATTGATGGATTTCCCTTGACCGATATCGCTGTACATGCTCCCAGAGAAGCCTGGCAGTCACTCTGCGAACAAGCCATCCACATCATCCACCAAGTCGGCGATCGAGGTATTCTTAATGAGGATGTCAAAACAAGGAGCTTCGTCGTTCAAAAAAGCTCAGAGAGAAAACTCAAGATGCTTATGCTTGATTTTGCGCTGTGCAAGTTTCGCAGGGACTATGAAAGCGAGAAAGACTGGTGGGAATGGAAAGCAATACAAGATGAAGAGGGGGCAGTGGGATATGTAATGCGGAGGAGATTACAAGGAGGTTATGTTTACCATCGATCTGCCTTATATACAAGGCTGGATGACGACTACAAGCCAGAGAATTGAGTACTGCCAGTATAGCCTTCTTAGCGGACTTTCTTGATGCTATTTGATATCGTATATGGTATATGGTATGTCATTCTACTTTGCTCCGAGCGAAAATCTAGTTGCTGCATACCGTTAATTGATTTAAGAGGCATTTTTAACCCCATATAGAAACATCACATGTCCATTTTCACCGCTCGCATTGCTCATATCAATTGAGGACACCAGCCTATACACCAAACATGGCCATTATCAAAGCATCCCTCAAACAATAGTCGGTAGACCATAAGACCATCAGCGACTTTGGCAGTAGAATACATTGTTATATTGGGTTTCTGGTGTGATCTGTCTTAATGGCCTTGAAGTATTTGCTAAATGCCATTGTTTTCTTACCATGTTAATATGTATTTACACGATGTACACCACAGTAAAACAACTTTTTCAGAATGACGACATGCAACTTTGATATCCTACTGGTCTGGGTGGCTTCGTAGCTTACTATATAAAATACTACATGTGAGAATTCTGGGAGGCTTATCGTGGCACTATAACAGCTTGTGTGGGTGGGCATTGGATCCTGAGGGAAATCGACTTTATCAACAAGTTCAATTTGTTTTTGTAGCATCCGCAAATGGTGGTGTTCACAGGGTCAACTAGCTAAAAAGATGCAAAGGAGGAACTCAGGTATATATATACGTTAATTTCGAACTTATGATACAAAACTATGTCATATCTACTTCCAACGCCTTCGTCATGTGAATTGGGAACTGAAACCACTATAGCGAATCTTCACAGCCTCACCCCACCAGGCGCTGGCCGACCACCAAACCATCTGGCGAGTCCGTTGTTGCCCTCGTTGCCATCGCTTCCCATCCACCTTGGAAGTCGGAACGAGTCGCCCTGCAACCATTGAGGTGTACTAGCGGTTTCAAACGTATTTTTCACCCGGTGAGCAAACGACTGGAAAAAGTTTTCGTCATCCTCTTCCTCCGTCACTACAGTGGAGGCTGTCGCGGCCCCACGGGATGGCCGTGAAGGTCGGGTAGCCTCACCCCGAGGAGTCCGCGACGAAGAAAAGGCATTAGTGCCTTCTTCAACACGGCTGGAAGGCTGAGGAGATCGATCACGAGCAGAAAGCGATAGGGACCCAAGGCCGGTAGCTCCCGCTCAATCAAATCACGACCTTCGCGCCAGCCACCTAGACCATAGCCACTAGGGTTATTTTCCAAGTCTTCGTCCTCCTCTTCTAAGAGGCCAAACCCGCAGATATTCTTCACTCGGCCATAGAGATTGAAAAGGGTAGCACAGACCGGCGCGAGAATGAATATGGGGAAGAAATAATCGAACCCCTTTCCAAGCGGTGTCAAATCAATGGACCGCCCGAGAAAACGGTAAAACGTGGTGTTCTCCCTGGCACTCATCGGTAGGAATGTTACGAAGTTGTATGCAATCGGCACAGTAAGCCTAGCGACGAGCCCCGCGTACCAGCAAGCGCTTTCGCCGTACGTGTTGCGGCGAACCAAAGCGCGATTGCCCCACACCTTAGCATCGTTGACACCAACTAACGCAGCCCAGCACATGTACAACAACCAAGCAGAGGCGGTCACCTGTCTTCCGAACCCTACGGGCACTGGATCTTTGTGATAGGAGACTATGGAGAGAGTCACAACTGACAACCGGGGAGCCAATGACTTAATCAATTCCGACCAAATAACACACACAGATGCAGCCGCAAAAATCACGCCGAAAAGCAACCGGACGCTCGGGATTATATGGACGTAGAGATGATGTCGCATGTAGGGACTCAGAATCTTCTGACGTGTAAAGAACGTTGCGCGATGGGGGGCGTGACCGAACTCGAGCTTCTTCGATGCAGATGAGTTGATGATGGCTTGCAAATCGGCGGCAGTCAGCACTAAACGATCCCACTCATCGATAAAGCGGGCCTTTAGATGCCGAGCGCGCTGGAGTCGTCTCGTAAGATCCGCCATATAGCGCTCTGTAATGACTGATGGGATAGTAGTCGACACGTCGGAAGGTTCAAGAAGTGCGGTCCGTTGCTCGGAGGAATTAGACGTCTCAGCTAGGTCTTCGATCCAGTCTTTGAACTCTAGAGCACTGCCAGTCTTGCGTCGTTGTAACTGAGAGACTTGCGATTCGAGACTCTCGAGGTCGGTGATCGCATCCATCAGACGGTCGTGCAACCGGGGCGCATGGGCCTGGATTCTGCGTAGCCGACCGCTCACATTGGCATTGCGGAATAGAGTACGAGGTATAGAAACAAGGCCATGACCCATCAGATAGATCGCAAGGACAAGACCCCATACGTATGCGAGAGCCATAGCTAGTGCCTTTATTGACGTAAACTCGAACCCATTTTGAATTGATATGTAGATTAATCCCACAATCGCACAACACAACACGATAAGTTGATATCGGGCATTGGAGCGGAGGGAGTACTCGATGCGGCCTTTCGGCTCGCGATAGCCTGAGTCGACATATTCGCCAAGCAATGGAAGAATAGCCCTTTAAGCAGGCCAGATTAGTACTGAAAGAACATGAAAACCTTACAAATGGTCAAATGAAGCACGCATGTAGTACACACCAGGTAAGCACAAAGATTAGCCAGTAGGCAATGCGCCAGGATACCAGGATCAAACGGTCAGGCAACCAAATGGCCTTGGGTCCGCCTCCATCGCGAGAACTTGATGCTAGATCAATCGGAACCAGGAGCACTACGCTAGCGGGGAGGGCGAGTGCAAGAAACACCGGAATCGTGAGGTAGGCTGGAGTAGCTCGCAAGGTCAGGAAACGCCGTAGAAGGAGTAAGACAAGGATTGAGATTGCCAGAAGGGCAAAAGAAAAGAAAATATTAGAGCCAACAGAGATCGAAGATATGGAGATCATGGCGGCGGTTCCGTGGAGTGTACAGACGCATACAGAAGGCGGAAGGGAAGTTCAGGGTCTTGGACAATCAAGAGTAATTGTTCATGACGAGGGAAAGCAAGTCAACTAAAGAGCGACGATCAACCTAGCTAAAACCGCAGACAGAAAAGAGTCGGATTGTGTTCAAAGACGGACACATGGGGGTGCAACGAGAGAAACGGGAGTTGGTTCCGGATTGAATGAACCCTGAGACTCTGTAGGCATGGACGGATCTTTCATTTCGTTGACGCGGATGATAAGGCCCACGGTGACGACAGCAGGGTCTACACGTGATATCACATGATATTCTGTTGCTTTTTCTGGCAACAAGCAGCCTTACCCGGTCCACTTGGTGCAGGCAGATGTATGTTACAGGAAGTCAGTCACGAGTGCCTCTGAATCCTGCTGAAGTCGTTAAGCTGCCCTCTCTACTTACATGGATTAGATTTCTGAGCAGTATTAGGGCGAGGGGTACTAATAAATAATAAATAAGGACCAAAGAGGGACTGACTAGAACGTAGTTGATGGAGTCTGTACCACCTTTGGGTCGGTCACACTAGGTATGTAAGGTCACGGGTACGGTACCCTAAGTACAGTACCTGCACGCTGTGGACTGGTAGACTGCAACCAGCCTTCTCCTTAAAAAAAAATGGACCCAACAAATGGTATTCATACTTCTAGTATATGATACAGCCACATCGGTGATCATTGATCTCTTAGGAAGAATCCTCCACACCCTAGGTTGGAGATCTAATGAACTTCACATCAAGTGTATAATTATAATCGTCCTTCTCATAATTAAGAAGAGAAGTTATAAAAAATCTTTTTAAATAAGAAAGGGGAACAAATGAGAGAGAGATAATTAAATAAATAAAATAAACCTAAAACTAAAAGAGAGGGAAAAAAAAGAAAAGAAAAAAAAAGAAAGGAAAAACTCACCTGGGAACAACACAAAAGTGGTATGAAATGGAAACGATCCAAATTAAAGTACCTGTGAAACCAGACGTCTTGGCTTGCCAGACCTTGCGTCCTCTCCACAAATCAGTACTCCGGTCTACACCAATGAAATTCCAATCAGGATCCAAAAGAGTACGTATGTGAACAGCGTACAGCTCAATAGATGCCCTACTCAGAGTACACCACTTGAACCCTATACCACTAGTCCGTCTACTAGGGACCAGACAAAGTCACTAAGGACTGCTGGCCCGCCTTTTGGTCTCCATCCGCTCCCGTCACTACGACTCCTGCTAACACTAACTAGACTAACTTCGACCAGTAACGGGCAGATCCATAAAGGTCTGAAAGTCTAGTACCTGTTAGTCTCCCACACTAACCCAGGCCTGAGGCCACCATCACCACCTGCCTGTGGTCTTTAGACTTTCCCTTGTCTTCCCAACTGATCTTCAGTATCTTCTGCTCATCTCCAGGTCAAATCAATTAATTCAATCTTTCCCTCCCCTTGTAGGCTATTATTGGGGTTCCTATTTCTCCCATTATTGCTTGCTGCCTTTTTCTCTTTTCTTTTCTTTTCTTTTCTTGTTGCCCTTTTAATATTTTTTTTTTATTTTATATTTCTTCTTCGAGGGGTAACGTCCTTCCGAACTTTTGTTTTCTCGTCTCCTCTCGTTTTTCGGGTTCCTCTTTCTTGCGACTTTTCCCCTCTCTTCTTCCGGACCTCTTCAACAGCTGACGGTCATCACTTCTTCCATGCCACGGGACCGGAGCTCTCATTGCTTGTTCTGTAAGCCCACCCTCTTCCAACAGCTTTCTATTCCCCCTCCCCTCTCTGACCGATCGTTCTCCCTTCGTTGCTTGTGTCTAATTGATTGGTGGATACCTCTATCATTGGTGACTTTCCTTTTTCTTTTTTTTTGGAAACATTTTATTGTCTCTGGCGGTGTTGAAATTACGTTCGCATTACGATCCGTCTGACCCAAACCTTTTCAGATTCACCTTAATCCTTCCTTTCTCTTTCCTTCACCTGTAATTTTTTTCCTCTTTTTTGCTTCTTTTTATTCTAAACCCCCTTACTATTCTTGAAATTCTTCCGGCGCGGATGCCATAAAAAACGAAATCGAACGCATCCGTTCTGCAACAACTGGCGTCAGTGCGACATCCCTGTCAGTGATCCAAACCTTCGCCGGCTTAGTGTTCCCCCCCAAAGCCACTTCCCGGCTCCTGCCAACGAACCCGCTTTGACTGCACGCTGGTGCCCGAACGCCTTGTTTTCCCTGTTGTGTTGGTCTCCCGTGTTCTTGCTCTCTCTCATTCTCTTCCTCAACGCTCTCTTTGTCCGACTGCTATCCTTTCCCTGCGCTTGATTCCTTTCGTATCTCAGCGCGCTCAACCTCCGTACGGTGTTGCGTCCCACCGCGATTCACTTCTCGGAGTTTGGACCTTCAGTACTTTCCTTCCGCATCCCACCACTACTCGCTTTCCCCACTATCATAAATCACGCCGCTAAGGGAATTCTGATCCGGGCACAACGCATCGCACAGGGTGAGAGTTGGTGTTCCCACCAGCGAATGCTGACGTCAAAAGAAAGCTTGCGCGGACTGCTCCTCGATCCCCATTAAGGGGGGGTTGTTGACATGAATGCCGCAAATTTTCCCAATGCCGGCGGGGGCATGCCTGGCGGAGGTAATCCGCATGGCCAGATGCAGGTTCCGCAGCAGAAGCCAGAGAATCAGATGATGGTGAACTATTTGGCCCAGGCATTGCAGTCCCAGGGTTCTTTTACCGGATGGAGAGCCGATGTTCCTCTCAAGGAGCGGGCTGTCAATGTACATCAGATGTAAGTGGCCTGCGTCATGTGTATGGTGATGGATCCGTTGCTCCCGCCAGTACTAGCCTTCAAGGCTATTGTTTCACATTTTCCATCCTATTGTGCAGACTGACAATCTATCTCCAGGTGTACATCCCTTCGTTTAATACAACCGCATGCCTCTCTACAGAGCTTAGCGCAGGCTGCTTTAAGTTTTGAGCAGAAGGCCTTCAACAATGCAAAAGAGAAGGTATGCTCTCCCATTCTTTTGCTTGTATGGCGGGCACTTAACGGTGGACATATTAGGTCGATTACGATAAGGAATGCAACGATAAACTGGTTCATATTCAAGAAACTCGGGCTAGACAGGCGGCTGTATTACAACAAAATGGCGGCATGATGGCTCAGTCGGGGCACGCGGCGGGAATGGCCGGAGTTGGACAGGCGTTTCCTCAACAAATGGGCCGCCCGGCACAAGCTTCTCCAATGCCTGGACAACAGCAGATGGCCATGGGGATGAATGATCCGAGTCGGCAGGCGGCTATACAGCATCGGCAGCAACAACAACAGCAGCAATCCCAGGCAATCCTTCAACAACGAGCGCAGCCAAGACCTGGTAATGGTATACCTCTGACGGATGATCTTAGCACACTTTCGGCTCAAGAATACGAACATGTTTGCCGTATCGCCAACCAAATCTTATCAAAGACTTCTCAGGAAGATGTGGACAAGATCAAAATGAATCTACAGAACATGACTCATGAGCAAAGACAATACCTTAACCGGAAGAACATGGATCCCATCACATATTTCTTTCGCTCTCAAGCATTGACTCAACTCAGAAGGCACAAACGATCCCGGCAGGAAGCGCAACAACGTGCGCAGAATACAGGGGTTGATCCTAATAGTGCGATGATGGGAGATCCCATGATGAACGCCCAGCAACGACAAATGTTCCAAAATATGATGAATCTGCAGCGCAATTCATTCTCAATGGGCAGTCAACCGAATTTGGATCCGTCCTCATTTATCGGCAACGTTGAAAATATACAGGGACAACAGGCGGATGGTTTACGCTCCCAGGAAGCAGGCCAACTTGTGGTGCCTGCTAGTTCTTCCCAGATGAACCAACAGCCGTTTACAACGCCTCAGAATATGTTTCAAGTCGGCCAGGGTAACCAGACCAATATGAACGGTGCCGGCATCAGTCCTCAATTCTTCTCCCAACAGCAATTACAGACGTCCCAAAATCTCCAGCAAGATCGAACGCAACAGGCACCTCAATTCCAACCACAATCGCAGGCACAAACGCAGGCCCAGGCACGCGCGCAGGCTGCTCAGAAAGCGCAAATGGCTATATCCCAAGCTGGTCAAGCCAATTCGCAAATGCAACAACAGATGACACAGCAGAGTCCCGCCATGCCGATGCTCAATCGTCCCATGGCTCCGGGTCAGATATCACCGGCGCAAGTGGCAGCTCAAGTTCGGCCTCCGTCACGGGCTCCTGGGCAACAACCGGCCGGGGTCCAGCCTCTCGGAGGACAAACGGGCATGCAGGGCCGGCCTCAGATTCCTCCTAACCTTCCGCCTATGGTTCAAGAGCAACTGGCTCGGATGACCCAAGAGCAGTTAACCGCGTTCTTAATGAACCAGCAGCGCCGTCCACTCAATAATCAAGCTATGGCAAGAGCAAACGCTAACCAACAGTCCATGCCGATGCAGCCGAACCTGTCACAACCTGGCCAAGGTCAACAGATGGTGAATGGTCAGGCAGGTAATAATCAAAATATGCGTGCCTCCCTGAATTTGCAACAACAGCTCGCAAATATGAGTGGTGCACAAGCGCCCAATCAGATGCTCCCAGGGCAACAGCAAATGACAGCCCAACAACGGCAGCAGCAACAACAGCAGCGTCAACACGATCTATATAAGATGCAGCTGCTTCGCCAGCAGAGTGGGGGCTTGGAAATGTCCCCGGACCAGGTCAAAGACATGGATCGCATGCCATTCCCCCCTTCAATACATAACAACCTCCCTTCGCCCCCCCCGAAACATATAAAGACTTGGGGCCAACTGAAACAATGGGCAACTGCAAACCCTCAAGTTCTCGGAGGCATAGATTTGCAGAAGTTAGTGGCATTCCAGAAGCTCCATTTGAACCATATATTGGCACAGAACAAAGAAGGTGGTCGGAATCCTGATAGTGGAGGCCAAAATCCTTGGATGCAAATGCCTTTCCAGGGGCAGCCACAGCAATTTATGAACCAACAACAGTTCCAACCTGGCCAACAACAAGGGCCAATAAATATGCCTCCAATGCGCCCGATCACTGGACAAGATATTCAAATAGCTCGTCAGCGACTAGGAGCTCAGGTGCAGAATTATACGGATGAGCAGCTACGGGAGCTGCTCTACAGGAACCGACAGAAACAGTTAATGCAGCTTGCCCAGAACCGAGCCGCTCAACTTGCAGCTCAGCAAGGTCAACAGACCCCGTCGTCTCAGCAGCCTCCGGTCACTGCACCTTCGGCCACGCCTCAGATCAAGTCAGAGGCCCAACACCAGCAACCAACAACACAGTTGAATCAGCAGATGCAAGCGACAAAGACCCAGAATGCAACACCTGGAAAAGGTGTAAAAGGACCTGCTGCTAAGCAACCGCCGAAGAGAAAGATACCAAATGAAGAAAGCGCGGACGCTCAGAATACCCCTGCGCAAAAGTTGGCGCCGCCTGTGGCTTCTCAAGGATTGTCGGGTTCCACGCCAGCACGACCTAATATGCCGTTCACTCGTGAGCAGTTGGTTAATATGACACCACAGCAACGTGCACAATTGGAGGCGCACATACGGAGGCAGCAGGGCCAGAATCAAACGCGCGCTCCTATTTCGAGAACCGCTGCGGAAGAGCAATGGAACAACCTACCAGACAAGATCAGGCAAATGTATAACGAAATCCTGGTGCAAGCCCCACCCGCCGAACCTGTATCTGTTACACCAGAGCAAAATGCTCAAATGTCCCAGCAACTACGGGAGTGTACGGATATGCTGGGTAGGATGGATACACTGGTTCAATGGTTTTCCAAGATTCCTAACCAGGAAAAAAATGTGAAAAGCTTATTAGCTATGGTATGTCCACATTGGTTCTTTTTCTCTATTTATTAACCAGTGTGCTGATTCTGTGCCATTTAGCGCATACAATTAATGAGGCAATTTAAACCTGGGCCTGATTGGACGATCAATGACCATTTTACTGTCTCACCAGAGTATCTAACAATGACCACTAACTATGTCAAAAAGCTTTTCCAAGCCATGATCACCCGCGTCAGCCAACATCAAAATCAGCCATCTGGACAACGACCTAGTGTCTCTCAAGGGTCAACTAATGTGCAATCGTCCACTCAGAATAACATGCCCGCCTTGAACGCAAGCAATCTCCAGCAACTTCAACAACAGGAGGAGGCTATTCAGCGAGCCCGAAGGGCTTCAAGCCAGACTGCTGTCTCGGCAACTTCCGCCGTACCACCGGCACCGTTTGGCGCGCGTCTCCTCAGGGAGTACCGCATGCTTATGGACCCGGTAGCATGCCCCCTCAGGAACTAAAACTCCCTCCACCAAAGAAGAGGAAGCAGTCCCACGCTGGGCCCATTACTGGAACAGCTGGCACCAAATCACCGGCAGCTAAACAGACTGCAGCAGATGCCAAAATGGTTGCCACAGCCATGGTTGGTCCTTTCAAATGCAGTGTCCCACAGTGTCAGCATCATTACCAGGGCTTTGCAACCCAGAACGCGCTGGACAAGCATGTTGAAGAAACTCATAGGGTTGAAGAATCAATCGAAGATCCGCTTCAGTTTGCCCTTGACAGCTTCCGTAACTTGGTCAAAGAGGAGGACAAGGCTTCACCTGAATCGCAAGCTCCGAAGAAGAGTGCTGGTAGTGCAATGGACACCCCACAGGTGCCTCCTAAAGTGGGCGTTCCCTCACCCCCCATGAAGCAGGAGGCAGGAACAACTCCAATTACCGCGGGTGCTACTCCGGTGGCACGCGTGTTCAGTCAATTTGGAGCGAAGCCCACTTCTCCCGCATCCAACCAGACCCCTCGTGGGCCATCAGCCAAAGTACCTTCGTCGACAGCCAAGCCTTCCTATAGTAAGGATGGAAAGAAGGAAGCTGGCAAAACGACCGAGCAGATGCCATCCTTGGAGCCTACCATTGAAGACCCTTGGACTTCAAGTGCTGTTTCTCTTGAGGCGATCCAGGACACCTTTATGGACTTTGGGGACGATAGTGGCTTTGGTTTCGGCCCCATGGACGAGTTCATTAATGCAGACATGTTCGCCAACACTCAGTCAAAAGATACACCGGATTCGGTTGAAACAGCCATTGTCACCCAGACACCTAAGGACAACGATTTACCGAAAGTCGGAGACTTGGCAAGTAAAGGTGCGGAAGGCCTTGAAGGCAACTGGATTCCAATGGACTGGATCAATCTTCCTGGTCGGTTTGAAGATGGACCTCTTTTGAACGAGTCCTGGGAGGATATTGATTGGGACACCCTCGATCGGAGTAACATGAATGTTGACGATAGCGGAATCGCCATCTGTGCCATGTGAAACGGCGTTTTACGAAAAGAAGAAAGAATGGAAAAAAAACCAGAGAAAAAACAATTAAAGCTTAATGACCCTGAGCAGGTGAAAGGCGCTGCGGCTTATCTCTTCGGCATAAATATGGATGACTTATGTATATTAAGACTAGGCCAGTGTGGGAGGCCACTTGTTTATGCTCGTGATTTTGTTTTCTTTTACGTCTGTCACTCTTGTCTCTGTTACACCCTCGGACCACTTCGATTTCCCTGTTCATCTATAGTTGGCTTAGCCGTGGCGTTTCAAGGAGCGAGCAAAAGGTCATCTGTGAATTGTTGAAAGAGGCTTTGTTCTCTTTGCTATATTTGAAATCTTCTTCTTCATTTTCCCCCCGGTCTCTTTCCAGGCGATGGAGCTATCTACTGAAGGCAAATATAATATCCACATCAAGGTTTCAGTGAAAACTTACGGGGTACTCCGAGTAGAAGTTGGCATGTAGGTTTGCGGTTGTTCCATGGAACACAGCGGTAAAGCTCGATACTGGATGCGTAAGATACAGCGGATCCCTGGGTCCATGTGCCAAGGCTCGGGAGATGGTCAGCTGCTGATAAGGACGCCCCCATCGCTCCATCTCCTCTCGGGTTCCTCATTCTTTTGTCCTTCTCCAACAACCTTATTGTCATTTTCCGAGATGGGCTGTCAATAGAAGCCTTCCTACACTATATCCTTCATCCTGTGCTATAGCGCCTAGTTTTCTAGAGGCGCATCTTGTCTGCTGCTTCCAAGACTCCCCCGGATAGACACGGGTCCTTATCTCTCAGCCCGCCAGCTTTCTGTCTCTCCAACACATCTGAGAGACCCTTTGGTTCGACATATTCTTTTTAGGGTACTGTAGTGCCCCTTGGGGAATCATGGCGACCAAAGCAATGATTCCGTTCCTGGTCACGATGATGCTCGTGACCGGTGTCTGCAATACTATCCTCAACAAGTACCAGGTTAGATCCCTTACTAGTGTGCCTGTTGTCTGCGCTCTGCTAAATTCCATGAACAGGATATGCAATGTGTGCGAAACTGTGACTCTCCGGATCCTAGCGATCGCCATCTCTTTGAGCAGCCTGTTATTCAAACGTAGGCGTTATCATATCATCTTCTGACTCGTGCATCGGCTTATGGCTTGGTTCTACAATAGGATTCAGATGTTCATTGGAGAAATGGGTAGCTGGCTCGTGGTCCTACTCTCATATATTTACCAAACATTCATCTCGCCGCGCTTTTCGAATCAATCTTCTCCCCTTTTAGTCGGTGGCTATCACCCTGTCGCGGGCAATGATGGCGTCGATGATGCGGTCGAGGATAATGCAGTTGAGGGGGATGAGTTCTCCAATGACCCTACAAAGCCTGCGCACGCGCATGACGGGCGTATACGGCTACATGGCCGGAAGATCTTTCTCCTTGCTGCACCAGCATGCTGTGACATTGCAGGCACTACCCTTATGAACGTCGGTCTGCTCTTTGTTGCAGCAAGCATTTACCAAATGACGCGTGGTGCGTTGGTACTCTTCGTTGGGCTCTTCAGTGTTCTGTTTCTCCACCGAAAACTCTATCTTTATCAATGGATTGCACTTTTCGTGGTAGTCCTGGGAGTTGCACTGGTAGGCCTTGCAGGTGCCCTCTTTGGTGACAGCCAGAACCACGATATCACACGAGAGGATGCCATGGCAGCTGTAGCACACATCTCGATGCAAGCCCGCGCTCTTGCAAAGACCCCTGAAGCAGTTCAGGCGATCATCGGTGTTCTCCTTATTGCCGCTGCCCAGATCTTTACTGCTTCGCAATTCGTTCTGGAAGAATGGATCTTGGAACACTATGCTATGGACCCTATCCAAGTTGTTGGCTGGGAAGGTGTTTTCGGCTTTTCTGTAACTGTCATCGGATCGATCATCTTATATTTGTTCGTAGGCCGCACGGAAGCTGGCCGCTATGGATACTTTGATGTTAAGGAAGGATGGCATCAGATATTTAGTAACAGAGCTATCACTATCTCCAGTGTCCTGATTATGATCAGTATTGGGTATGGTCATTCCCTTTGCCCTCCTAGGGCCTGTCAATACAACAAAAACCCATTCACTAACTTGTGTCCTTTAACAGTGGCTTCAATTTCTTCGGTCTCTCCGTTACCCGGTCCGTGTCCGCTACATCCCGTAGCACGATTGACACTTGCCGAACACTCTTCATTTGGCTCGTCTCATTGGCGCTCGGATGGGAATCCTTCAAATGGCTTCAGGTCGCCGGGTTCGCATTACTCGTGTATGGAACCTTCCTTTTTAACGACATTGTACGCCCGCCGCTCAAGGCATGTCTTCCTCATGAAGTGAGGGAGAGAGAATTGCTACTGCCAGAGGAGCCGATCGAGCATATCTAAATTTAGAGAACGGGACATGCTATTAGCATCTCAACATCCCCACGCCCATCGTCTTAGGCTCACATCATCTTGCTTATCTTACTTTTTTGGATACATGGTTGGTATCAACTATTGGTGTTGCAGGCTTTCGAGTCGTCCTTATTCTGTCTGGCTTTTGATTTCTGCGAATGGTCTCGTCTTATATAGATGAACTTGGCTTGTTTTCTCGAACTTTGTAGTATGCAATTGTACGTAGATCTTATCTACGAACGCTGAAAGGTAAAGGTAAAAAAAAAAAAAAAAAAAAGAAAAAAGAGCCACAGTCCGGTCTAGCGTAAACAACATGCTCTAATATCATGGAAATCTAAGTTCAATCCCAACGAAACATTGGCATGAAAGACAAATGACAAGTAGGAAGCCATTATCCTAGTCATGCAAAAAGGACAGGCCCACCCAATATACAATCCGAAGCCAGAGTTTATATATGTATGTATATCGCCAAGGCCCCGTATATAGTACAGATCAAGAACTCTTGTGGTCTGATAAATGTAACTCTCTAAACAAGAACGTATAGTGCACACATCTGCCAAGAGACACATTAGTTAAGTAATAGAGAAGTTATAGGTGGTGTACTCACACAAGCGAGACCGAAGATCATCGACAGCCAGAAGAAAATATTCTATTGAATAGGTTAAACATGCCCATTTCTCTCTCTTAATCATTTCTTCTTTTTTTCTGGTCCGGTAGGGGATTTTTGCTTACTCTAAGGGTCGTCTTGCCCCGGAAGTACTTGGATTGCTGGACGGCCACTATAGGCAATTGGAGCATCATAGCGACGAATCCGTAGCCACGGAGTTTCTTGGTAATACAGCTCATCACTAACTCGTGGGCAATAGAGCTCACAAGGAAGGTGATGAACATGGCGACGGACTGGGAAAAGCGGGCCTTGGAGGGGAAATAGACATGCCGTCGGAGGAAGTGATGAACTGGGATATTCCACTCGCGCGAGAATTCGAGCCTGAGCGAAAATGTCAGTTGGTTGGATCCAGTAGGGATTATGTATCAAATTTGTACACGTACCAATCGCATGAGTTCCACCAGTCCGAGTAGAAGTGACGATCGGCGAAACAGGTGATCTCCGCAAATGCACCCAGCACATATTCGAATATAACCAGGAACACGAGTAAGAACGTGATCATAAAGGGGAACATAAGCATATTGATTGTTTCCGCGAGGATCAAGGCTTTGTCCACTGCACTCTGTTTCAAATGCAACTGGGTATTGGCCTCGCTCAAGACTGGGAGAATGAACTCTTCACTTGTAAGGGTCAACAGGAATATACACCCAAAGACGGCACACGTTTTCAGGCCGATCTCTGCCCATGATCGCTCCTTGCTGCGAGGATATTCCAACTCGTAGCAGAGGGTAGGGCAGAAAGTGAAATCGACGTAGTTGGGGAGTGTAAGGTTCTGCGGATATGTGACATGGCCTAGCGGCGAGGTCAACTCGGTCGCCAAATCCTCACGGAGCTCTTGGATTGATTCCGATCGTGAACGGCTACTATGCCGCTGCGTCGGCGGCCGACGGGGTGCCGGGTCAGGATACCGGTCCACAGCTGCATCTATTGACACTGACCCAGGGTTATCAAGTGCGGACAAGCGGCGCTCGGTCTCGCTGAGATGCCCATTGTAGAATGCATAAGAGTGTATCTTCATCAAAAAGGTTAAGGTATGCAGAGTAAAGAATACCTGCGCTGTCCAAGTCCAGCGCAACATAAATGGCCAACTGATTGTTTGATTAGCTCTTAAACTCAAGCGCAATTGAGAAATCGACTCACTTGATCCACAGGACTAGCCAAGCCGCTTCAAAAATGCTTTGTACTACCATGCCCCCTCTTCCCCATCGCAGCCATCCACTACTGTTCCTGTAAAGGTGATGGAGCGGCAAGACTGCGGCACTACTCACCACCATGGCGAGATCGCTGAATCCCATTGCCCAGACATTTGCTGTTAGGAGACTCCATACTCTCACCCGTAGCGGGGAACCGGTGTCCTTTACATTCCGAAGCGCGGTAGTGGCCACCATGATAAATAACCCAATCCAAAACAGTGTGAAGAAGCCGCGGAAGTTATGATAGTCGCTCTTCGGGTCGAAGTGAGATACGCGGGGGATATAATCAATGGTATAGAACAGTCGATTCCGGGCTCTAGCCTGCTTTCTGGCGTGCGATATTGACTGGATAGATGGGGGGGCATCTTCGGCGATAGGGGTTGAACGTCCACTAGCATGCAGCTGTTAGACTCGAGGGAAATGGTAGTGGGCCCAACGGTCTTGCTTACCTCGAGTCAAGAGAACTTTTCTCCAAGGAGAAATTGGTAGAATCGTCAAGTTTTTTCAAGATGGCCCGTGACCGTAACAGCGGGGAGCCATTGCTCTGTGATACTGCAGAAGACATCCTCGCGGAGTCAGGAGTGCTAGATGTCATGGACACTTTCTTCACATTGGTTCCGTGGAACTAGCAGAAGCGCTCTAGAACAGAAGGTCCAGTCTAACTAAATATAAAATCTCTCAAGGTTTCGGTGACCAGATGGAAAGGATTGTCTTGAAGGACACTTGTGCATCCAGGAGAAGGTGGATCCTTCGTCAATAATAGTTGTCGACAAGGCAGAATGATTGCGCAGGGACCAATTTTTAAAAGGGAGACGATGGTCGGTGTCGCGGATCAACCGGGCATCGGACCGCGACGAGTGTTTCCTATACCATTGGCATCCAACATTTGCAGCGAATTATGCAGAGAACAAGGCAAATTGAATGGAGATTATGGGGGGCCATAGAGCCTCTGAGTAAGAAAAGTTATTTCTGTACGGAGTAACTGGGAAGCTCTCACGTCATGCCGTCCACCTGATCCCGGACCTCGGAACCGCGGTACCGCCGAAGTACGTACCTTATAGGGCGGTGCGGACGGGATAACGATACGAATACGATACGGAGTACATTCATTATTGATGGCCTGCAGTTTCAGGCCATCAAGATATCCATTCCTCGGATCACGTGGGGAAGCCCACGAGGGGCCCTAGACTCAAAGGGGGGAGCGCCAAGACGGACAAGTCGCAAAGGACGGGCGAGGCTCAACCTACCGACGCCGTTACTGCTACTATTATTGTTTAGACGCTTTTCATCTGGCCTTGGAGTTGCGTGGACTGGTTTCTTCGCATTACTTTCTTCTTCCCCGTTCCTTCTTTTGTCCCCCTTTAATTCATATCCCTTCTTGATACCCCGTTGGGGGTCCCTGTGGCCGCCATGACATCCCGTAAGTCGTGTCCATTGCTAATGGAAACCCCCCACACTGGCATCCCCTTTCCTGGCAACTTAGTTGCTAACAATTCTTTCTCCGCCGCCCAAAATTTATAGTCAAGCAATTCATTCGAAATGTACGTTCTGCAAAGACAATCGCCGATGAACGGGCGGTGATTCAAAAAGAGAGCGCGGCCATTCGTGCGTCGTTCAGAGAAGAGAGCCATGATTCGGGCATACGGTCAGCCATCTACGCATTCATCACCTGAACCGACATCTCATACCCATTGACAGGAGAAACAATGTTGCCAAATTACTTTATCTTTTCACCCTCGGTGAGCGGACGCACTTCGGTCAGATCGAATGCCTGAAACTGCTGGCGTCCCACCGCTTCGCAGACAAGCGATTGGGATACCTGGGTACTATGCTGTTGCTAGATGAGAATCAAGAAGTATTGACGCTGGTAACAAACTCGCTAAAGAAGTAAGTTACAACTGTAATGGATAATGCGCTTTATGGATCTTTCCCACTAATATAACACAGTGATCTTAACCATTCCAACCAATATATTGTCGGGCTTGCCCTTTGCGCCCTGGGAAATATCGCCTCCGTCGAGATGTCAAGAGATCTGTTCCCGGAAGTCGAATCTCTTCTTTCTACCGCAAATCCATATATCAGGAGAAAGGCGGCTTTGTGTGCTATGCGGGTATGTCGTAAGGTGCCAGACCTGCAGGAGCATTTCTTAGAGAAGGCCAAGACCCTCTTGTCGGACAGGAACCATGGCGTTTTGCTATGCGGCTTGACTTTGGTAATAGACATGTGCGAAGCGGAGGAGGCCGAGGAAGGACAGGAAGGCGTGATCGAGATGTTCCGACCTCTGGCTGGTGGCCTCGTACGTGCTCTAAAGGGTTTGACAACTTCCGGATACGCCCCGGAACATGACGTTTCTGGAATCACAGATCCCTTCCTTCAGGTTAAGATCTTACGTCTTCTTCGAGTTCTAGGAAGAGGAGATGCGGCAACAAGCGAACTGATTAACGACATTCTAGCCCAGGTGGCTACCAATACTGATTCGACAAAGAACGTCGGCAACGCTATCCTCTACGAGGCCGTCCTCACCATCCTTGACATTGAGGCTGACTCGGGTCTAAGAGTTCTGGGCGTCAACATCCTCGGAAAGTTCCTCACCAATAAGGACAACAACATTCGTTACGTTGCTCTTAACACGCTGAACAAGGTTGTCGCGATCGAGCCCAACGCTGTGCAGAGACATCGTAACACCATCCTGGAGTGTCTCCGCGATCCCGACATCAGTATCAGAAGACGAGCCCTTGACCTTAGCTTCATGTTGATCAATGAAAGCAACGTCCGTGTCATCATCAGGGAGCTTCTTGCTTTCTTAGAAGTCGCGGATAACGAGTTCAAGCCTGCTATGACTAGTCAGATCGGCATTGCTGCCGATCGCTTTGCGCCGAACAAACGTTGGCATGTCGACACGATCCTCCGAGTTCTGAAATTGGCTGGTGCCTATGTCAAAGAGCAGATTTTATCTTCCTTTGTGCGTCTCATTGCTACTACACCGGAATTGCAAACCTACTCCGTGCAAAAGCTCTACATGTCGCTGAAAGAAGATATCTCACAAGAGGGTCTTACTCTTGCTGCAACTTGGGTCATTGGAGAGTACGGCGATAACCTTCTTGAAGGCGGTCAGTACGAGGAAGAGGAGC